ATTGACCTCGGGGTCACCGATGACGTCACAGGTCAGGTCAAAGATAAAATGTTTCACCGTTCACGGGGCTTCTAGGGAAAGCGCTATAACACCGAGTAAAACGTTGTCGAAAATCAGCGATAAGGCGTCAGTTGTCTAGTACATATGTTGCTATTAGAGGTCACTGGTCATACCAGGTCAGGTCACAGGTCAGGTCACCAAAGGTCAACAAGGGTCACCACATGAGCCAACTTTACTAAGGTTATGCGATGCACGTTTTATGGCCAGTTTTTCATTTCCAACTCAATGGTGTTGGTTATAAGACCATCAGGTACGATTTAGGTCACTTTCTGGTGGAGGTCAGGTCAAGGTCAGGTCAAAAAAGGTCAAATTTCAAAGTTGATATTTTTGCATAAAATGGGTATCAATTCGATGCAGCTCGTCACGGGGAATCTAATGGTGGTCTTTGTTTTGCGCAACCAGGTCCAAAATTGCTAAAAATTGAGTTTGAAAATTAGACGTCATCAATTTTGAACAGTTTTTTCGCTATAACTTGACCAAAAAAAGAGGTATCGATCTCAAATTTAGTATGTAGATAGAAGGCGGTAGGGACTATCACATATATTCCGTTTTTTTCGAAATTCAAAAACTTTTTGGATTTTTTTTGCTATTATATTCAAAAAATCTATTTTTTATTTTTGGGGGTCAAAATCCAAAAAAATTGAAAAACCCTAATAACAGTTTTGTAGCCCTTTTGATTCCACACCTTTTATGTCTGAAACATTTTTCTGTATCTCTAAAGCTGTAGGCCTGACAGCTCTTCCCGCGAAACCTTTTTTTGGGTCGAAAATGGCAAAAATGACGTAACTCTGACGTCATTAGCGGCCAACCTATCATAGCCTTTGGAAAAAAATTTTTGGTCACCATATGCGCTAGCTGCTCCCGGGAGGGTACTGGAAGTTTGGTGACGATCGGCGCAGCGGTTCTCGAGATATATTGAAAAAAAAACTAAAGGGGGGCAAAAAAATGCCCCCCACCGCCTGGAAGGTTAAAAATTCGAATTAAAAGTTCGGTACCCTCAGGGTATCTCAGGCATCCGTCAAGGAGTGCGTAAACCAAAAATGAGCCTGATTGGACCGGCGGTCCGGCGGTCAGAGCCTAAATTGTGAACTAGCAAAAATGTCGATAATTTTTTATTTGACCTGATCTGTGACGTCATCGGTGACCTCGAGGTCAATAAAAATAGGTTTCGTTCGACAGTTTTTCCAGGGCTATCAGACGCCGTTTGAATTTTCACGATCGGCCCACTAGTTTCGGAGATAGGAGGGGGGCTCTGGAGAGCCCCCCTCCCTAGTCACTCGCTTTATGGAAAATACCCCAGTCATGCGCGGGTTAATATGCACCATGACATGCACCCATGAACCTGACCTGAGGTCAAATTTTAAAAATGACCTTTTAATGTCAAGTTAGAGTTAATTAGACGTCTCGACGAAAGGAACACGATACCTATAAAATAAATGCCCTGCTTACTTATAGTAAAAAAAAAAAAACTCCACAAAAAAGTCATTTTGTGGACAGTTTTTACACATGGAGGCTAAAACGTAGGCGTCAGGTCAAATATGAAAATGTAAATTAGAAAGAGCCTTCAAATTTAGTTATTGGGTGCGCTTTTCCGCGGCTTTGTAGCTCCTATTCGTTCCCTAGTTATAGGCCAATTGGTAAACAAGTGTTAAAAGAGGCAAAATTTGACATTTGATGACCTTTAGTGACGTGACAATTGACCTGACCTACACATTTATTGAGGCCATTTCTTCATGATTTTGAGACCCGAATTAGCGGACATGGAGATGTGTTCAGACACCACTGGCCCGACGCGAGTGGCGCCGAGCACCAGCCCAGCGCGGATTAATGTCCTAGGTCAATGGTTGAACTTGGTCAGGGCAGTGACCTAACTCACGAAAAATCTAAATCTGCTATAATATGTATGTACGTTCTGCTTATATGCGTACCATTTTTATAGTACTTGATGCAGTGAAATTTGTATGTGATATTTTCGACCCCTGATCCTGAATTTTGGATGTCGGTCTTTTACCCGGCAGTTGCTGGGGTATTTCGCCACCCGCCGTTTGCTGGGGGGGGGGGGGGCGTTAAACGCCCCCAGCCGATAACTCGAGAACCAATAGGCGCAGCGAAACGCACGAGGCGGCAAACGAAAGAACGCGACGAGACGCTTCAGATGAGTACTTTAAAATTGAATTTTGAGGTCACAGGTAGGGTCAAGGTCAAGTCAAACACCTGAAATCGGGCTTTCAGTAGCATGGACTTCAAGGACGTCATAAGCTCTGTCAAAACGGTGCACAATCCTTCATATAATGTCTACAAGAGTGTCAGCTCCATGTAGGGGTCAGTCAAGCATCTTAGGTCAGGGTCAAGGTCAGGTCAATCGGGTAGGCAAATATCCCCGAAAATTAAAACTGACATTCGCAGACTGTGACACATGTTTTATGGGTAATTTTGGGCGTAGAACACGATGGTGACATTCATTTTATCATATGTGTACGTGTTTGGTTCAAAAATTCAATTCAAGAAATGTATGTACAGCCCACCGCTAAAGTAATGTAGGGTTTTACCAATCTCAACGGTTGGCTTTGACTGGCGATTGTTTAATGCGGATTGCGGAGTGTTCGAAAAGAAGATGTCAATAGCTAAAGTTGCAGCTGCAAGGGTGACGATACATATAAGCTACATTCAAAGTTCCATTGTAGTCTGGTTAATCGTTCCTAAGCTTCAGAAGCAGAACATGCCCATGACTGAAACCGCACATTACTTCTGCTGTGGACTGTACCATGGTCGGGAAGTAGTCACGCGAAATTGCCAAGATTCAGTTAAAGATTTTGAAAAATGCGAAACGATAATCAATAATCGAAGATAGCCATTTGATTGTTCATGGTATTGGCAGTCTAACGGCGTTGACGGCTTGTCTGTATGTCTATTCTGTGATTTTATATGATTTTTTGAACATATGCCGTTTTTGGTCGAAAACTCAGAAATCCTGACGTCACTAAAACCTCGATATCTCAAAAATTTTCTGACTGATTTTTTTTGAAACTTTGTCAGAATAAACTTTAATCAATTCCCTACATGTACCCAAATTTTGACGCGCCTGCGGCGCGTCGTTTTTATGCTATGGCGCGGCGAAAAAAGTGGGGGCGTTTAACGCCCCCCCCAGCAACTCGCGGGTTAAATCACGATATATTTTTGTATTTGAAGTAGGTCAGGTCAGGTCAGGCTCAGGGCAGGTCAGCCATCAGGCCGGCTATTCTTGGTAGGTGTTAATCATATTGAAGGCTTCACAACAGGGCTTACAAACTAGTTCCAAAATGCTCCAATGAATGACAAATTTAAAATCAGCTAAAAAATTACCTTTAAGGGTTGTAAACCTAAAAATGCCGACTTGTGTCATCTAGGGTGATTTTTTTTTTACTTAACCTTCACGTAACTTGACACCCACATGGTCTATGACTTAACATCATTTCACATGTTAGTACGTTTCTAATCACATGAAGTCTGAAAACGCCCAGATAAATAACACCCACACACGCCGAGTCGCCATTCTGACCTAACGGTCTCGAGAAACACGTCAGAAGTCAAAGGTCGTTTAGTTCAGGTTCATGAAATTGTCAGTGTATGTGTAAAACTGATTAAACCGAGAGTAGAGACGATGTCGTCGTAACCCGTAGATTTTAGGGGAGTAATACGAGGAAAACCGAGTGGAGTAGTCCATACAACTTCACCCCGCCCTTCATAAGTGAAGAGTTAAAAATTCAATGGATACCAATCAGTTCGCCTCGTAAGTGCACCCTTACTCGCTTTTTCCGCGAAGGTCTAGCTCAATTAGGGAGGAACGGCGAGGGGTAGTCGCACCCACCCTCCCCTATAAAAGCGATAGGGCCGGAGAGAGCTATATAAGGGTAGAAGTTGCTCTGTTTTATACGTGCGCAGTACCGCTTAACCCTATTCCTGGCGGGCTCCGCCGGGACAAGAAACTGGCGGGGGGGGGGGGCCGATTCGGCCCCCCCCCCTGAGATCTCGAGAACGAAGCAAGATAGCGACAAGCGGTAAACGGCATCGGATACGCACGGTCAAGATCTACAATTTTTACTAAGGTCATTTTCAGGTCAGGTCAAAGATGACGTCACAGGGGTCGAAAAAGTCAAAATGGCGGCGCTAGATATGGAGAGAGTTTTTCTCGAATAACTTTCGAATTAGTCAAGCTAGGAACAAACTAAGGGCATCATCGTGATCCTCTCGTCAATCCGCATCGAATGATATATATGTTGACCTCGAAAGGTCAAGGTCAAAGGTTGACCTCCGGTCACGTGACCTCGAGGTCATCATGTATATCATTCGATGCGTCTTGACGAGATGAACACAATGAGACCATCCACGCGTCTGTATCTTGTTCCTGTACGGAGTTATTGGCCAAAAACCTTTGGTGACCTTTGATGACGTCACATGACCTCACAGCTGCCCAACAGCAAAACAGACCTCAAGGTAGTGAAGGTTGATCGTATATGAAGTCATGTATGGTATATGGGGCCATTCCCACCCGTTTTAGTGGTAAAAACAGGGAGTTGATTTTTCCCCCATTGACTTATAATGGGGAGGTCGCGAAATTGACCTGACCTTAGGTCACCGATATCAAAATTCCGAGATATACAAATTGCACATACTGGTACCCTAACTAAACCCTGAAGAGAAGAAATTGATCGGTCAAAAACTCTAGCTCTGGCGTGATTGCAAACTTTTCTGAGGTAGGGTCACCAAACCGCCTCTGGTGACCTGACCCGAGGTCAGATCAACTCAAAATTTTCAGACATGTTGCGTAGAAGCCTTTTAGGAAAAGTCAGAAAATTTGAGCTTCCTAGCTCAACGCGTTTGGGAGAAATAACCAAAAAACCTCAGGGGGGGGGCTCCTGAGGCCCCCCCCCCGCCAGGAATAGGGTTAAAACGAACGACACCCTTGGAAATCAACATTCTATAGGCCTGTCAGATCTACTCCAAAATTTAGACCACACAGCATGAGTACAGTGATGGAAGCCGGGATCTTCCATCTTTGGTTACCCCGAACAAGCTTGCATGCGGGTTCTATGATGGCGATTGGCGACCCTGTATCCACCGGTATAGGCTCTATGGCCACATAAGGAACCCACCTGCGGGCTCTATGGCGACCTCGACGGCCGGGTCGTCGAAGGGGTCGTAGCTGGCCTCGTAGTGCGTCTGCGCGCCGTACTGGCTGCCTCCGGCGCCGTACAGCTGCGAGCTGACGCTGTGGTGCGACTGGCGACTCTGCGAGCGCGAGCAGCCGGGCCGCCGCTCCAGGCTCTGCTGGCGACTCTTGGAGGCGCGCTCGAGACTGGTGGGCCGGCTGCGCGCGGCCGCCGCCGCCGCCGCCGCCGCCGCGGAAAAGGTGGACAGGGTGGGCGGAGGCGGCCCGTAAACGATGCCGGCGCCGCCGGACGGGTGGCCCAGCGTCACCTGCACCATCTCGCCGGAGCGCTCATCGAGCTCCACCGTGTCCGAGGAGGTGGCCGGAGAGTCGGGCGCCAGCCGGCCCTCGGCGGCCGACAGAGAGCTCACCTCGGCAGAGGCGGCCGTCGAGCGACCCGACGTGCTCATGACGCGGGAGCCCGTTTTCGTCTCTCCCATCTCCGTGTCACCTGCGATGGGCGGGGGAGGGGAAGAAGTAAGGAAGAGTCAGTGAACTCAGTGTGAGGCGCTGCAGTTTGTTTTACATTCTCTCTTGGATCTTTATAAAAAGGCGCATAAAATAAAGAAAAGGACAAAACAGATATAAGAAAAAGAGCATGAACAGGTAAAAGGAGGGAAGATCAAGCGAAGCCGATATATCTTGAGAACGTACTGTTTGCCGGCTGGTCCGACCCATTGCGCAATATGGACCAATGGAAGGTGTAGAGAATGGTGGCAGCTTTCGGGGACCGATTGTCAGGCAGAACCCTCACATCGGGGCCACCGCTTCTGCGCTCTGAAAACAAACATACACAATCGTCAAATACATACATCAGTCAAGTGTAAATATGTATAAAGGTTAAAGTGTAAAAAATGACGGCAGAAATAGCTTCAAATGGTAAATAACGTTAAAACAACAAGAACGATCCCTACTTAATTAGGTTATTTTGACCTACCAGGTGAACTGAAATGAAACATTTCGACATTTCAATATGTTCTTTAACTCTCGCCGGGCACATCAGTTTTCGACGTACCTACCGACAGGTCCAACAGACTGGCCGAACTATAGGAAAACATACCGGGGGTTAGTGAGTGTGTGAGTATGTGTGTGTGTGTGGGGGGGGGGTGAACCCTCCTCTACGCTTGACCTCTAACTGAGCCAAGATTTCGCGTAAAAAAAGGTGTGTGTCGTTACAAGACGCAGTGATTTGTTTGGTAGCCGATTTTAAAGTCTCAGGTCAACTGGTGACCTCTGATGCCAGGTCAAGTACCCCAAGGTACTAGTTCGGTATTCGATGGAAAAAAAAAATCGACAAAACGACTGCAGAGTCGTGATTTTATGCATTGTGTTCGTCATGCTCAGGCGCTTCGAATAATTTGTTATTGTTTGGGTGAGGTCAACTAAGGGTGTAGACCTCATAGTCAGTTCAAGGTTATCTCAAAGCCACCTTAGTTACAACGCTGAGGCTGGTCGATGGATGTCATGATGCATTTCGGCTCAATTTGATCGGGAATTATTGACGGAAATCCCAATGAACATAGTAATTTCATAAATGACGTCACTATGTTCATAAGGTCAACAATGCAAATCTTGATCATTGAATCTTGCAAATTGCACAAAATGTATTAACTCACGATTTTATGTGCATTTGAGATAGTCTTAGATCATTTACATCCTGCTAAAATACATAGCGCAGTTTCATATTTTTCCCATTGACTTATAATAGTGACGTCACTTAGCCGACCTGACCTCAGGTGACCTTTACGACAGCCTGAGATACCTATGCCAGTTGTGGGAACTAGAGATGCGATTTTGCCCTATAGGTAACGTCTCCCTACAAAATATTGATTCCGATACCGGGCGTTACGGCTTATTATTGCACTGGCGGTATACATATCTGAGGCCAGTTTCACCAATAAAAAACAGACGGCTGCGATTATTTTTTGACAAAACGATAGTCTATAAATCATATTTACCGGTGGAAAAAGTAATTGCTGACCAAATAATATAGCACTTGAAAGCTAAGTTTTTACATTTTTCAAGTCACTGATTAGTATTTTCAGCAGTAAATGACATTTTGAGACTATCGTTTTGTCAAAAAATAATCGCAGCCGTCTGTTTTTTGTTGGTGAAACTGGCCACTCCACTGCTCGCTCGAGCACGACTCGAATCGACATCCAACATATCATCCTTCATTCTTCGGCATGTCAGAGACTCCATGTCAGAGCAAGCACAAGCGAGGCGCGGGGAAGCTGAGAATAAGAGCCGTCGCCCCCTCCCCTTCACCCCCTGACAGCTCCGACATGCACTCCAAGTGGTTTTCAACCGTTCCCGAAACTCAAACACCATCTTCCGGGTTATTCAGTTTCCCCGGACGAAGAACCAAAGAGTTATGTGTCACACACAACACCTGATCGGTACCAAAAAAGCTTCTTATTCGGTGCCATCTATTTTTTATCCCATTGTTACGTGTAGTTCCGATTTTATCTGTCCATTTCCAAGGCTCCATCGCTTTCTAGGTCTGGCGCTTATTATTCAATATCCATCCCGTTTCCCCATCCCTTTATCCCAAGCACTGTTCAAGCAACGTACGCATTATTCGGCAGCCCATCTAAATTCCATCATCTGCCAATATGACAAGAGTGTGACCAAATCAAAGCGTTTCCTCACCGCCGGCCGATCCAGGAGGGTCTGGGTGAGCTCCTCAGCTGCCGTCTTACACCGTCCACGGTCACCGTCACTGGGCCGCCAGGGCCGGACACGGTCACGCAGGGTACGCGGCGGGTGCACTGGACGACCGCGGGTGCACGGAGCAGTGGGCGTCAGCGGCGCGTCGGCCCGTCACCGGGTGCCAGCACCATGGCCGTCGGCCGGCTCGATGGGCCGCCGTCGTGCCACCGCCGGTCCGCGATCGATGGTGGAGGCCGGCGCCGGCGCCGACGACCGGCTGCGCGCCGCACCGCCGTCGGCGCCGAACATCGCGCGCCGCCGGCCGACGTTTTAACTCAATGGACGCCAATTTCTGGCCGTCGGAGCCAGACGGACGCCCACCTCAGCTCGGCAGAGGCAGAGGAGCGCCTCTTGGCCTGCCTGAGGCGGAGGAGCGACCATTTCAGTCCATACTAGAGGTGTGAACACTCAAACTCACGACTTATACACATGGATTAATCCGTCCCGTCTACTTCTGCATTTCCATAGCGCGAATTGCTCGAGTGAGCGCTGTTAGGACCTCCTTTTGTTCCACGAGATGACTTTCAAGCCCATAGTGCGATAGCCCAGCGATTGGTCAAAATGAAAGAAAATAAATGAATTGGCTGTCAACGAAACGGTTAGTGAGTTCTTACAGTGGCGGATCCAGGGGGGGGGGGGCAAAATGGGCATTTGCCCCCCCCCCCCCAACGGCATAATTTTAACATTATGCCTATGGACGATGCATAGAAAGAATCGATAAATTGTTATGGTTTGCCCCCCCCAAAAAAAAACTCTGAGCTGGATCCGCCTCTGAGACGGACCACCCAGCAGTGCCTGCTATCCGTTCATGTGTGTTACACTTCTGCTCTGTACTCTTGTAAGAAAAAATAACCAGAATGGTAAAATAACAAAATGAGCCTTTATTCTTTACTCATGTGTGATGGAAGTGCAGCTAAAAGCTGGGAACATGTGTGTTGATTGTCGTTTGGCATGAATGCATGCTAACTGAGCACTTAGTTCTTACTATGAGATATAACGATGTCGTGTCAACTAAAATCTTAGCGACGTTATTCTGTTTAAGTTCACAAGCTTCTGAGCGGTTATCTATAATAAAAATACTCTTTCTTTGCTAGCGCTTAGGCAACGCCTTTACCACATAAATTACATATTGAAATGCCTGTTTATTGCTATTACGAGCTTTTGAAAAACACTGAATGTTTTGTTTCATGCGAACCGCGAACCGGAAGCATATCTACATATACATGGCTATGCTATACCTATATAGCAGAAGGTGCAGTAGAAGCTGGAAAGCAAAGGTCCTAGCGAGGAGAGGACGAGTCATCTCAATTAGCATCTTACACATTTCAATATTGACCTGACATTTTGCATTTTATGTGTCATATTATTTCTCTCTTCATGCAGCTAACACTGAATCAATGGAATTGCGAACAAATAGGCACCTCTCTTCGATGTTACAGACGCCGTGAGCGTGGGGTTTTCACAGAAAACTGAAGGTAAGTTTACATTCTATAATAAACGCTATGTGATGCATCGCAAACACACGGACTGTTGACCTTGGCTCATCATAACTCATTCGTCATAAAATCGTCTAGAAGAGCCGACCAAAGCGTGAATGACACAGCACATGCATAACTACTATGTGACCTTGGCTAAATCTGCGACTAAATAGCGCCAACCGCGCTCCAAGGCCGTGCGTTTGGCTGCCGGGTCTCGTGACGCAGGCTCGCGCGCAGCACCACACTCCACTGCTGTGACGGCGGGCTGCAGGGTCGCTCACCGAGCCAGCGCGGCGCTCCAGCGTGTCTCCCTCGGCTCCGTCATGTTCGTGGCGCTGCTGATCATCACGCTGTCGGTGCTGGCCGCCGCCGTGTACAGCGTGTTCAAGAAGGATAACCATCCGCCAGGTCAGTGCTATTAGCAGTAATATGGGCTTACAACCGGGTCTTGGCGGTTTTGGTATCTACCTCGCTTATCAAATTTGTCAATTTACCTACAACATCGCGAATATACGAAGGCGAAAAAGTGCAACATTCTTTGAAAGTGTAGCTTTATCTCCTTCATTTATCTCCTTGCATTCGTAGGGGGGGTTCTCTCTGTCATAAACTCATGAGTTTCCTCTCATGCAAATTTCAGTACTGCCCGCTAGAACCAGGGTATAGCTATACCTACCCGGACGCTGACGCCCCAACCGTCTTCTCCCTATCTCATTCCGAAATAAGCATAAGCAATGTTCTGGAATTATACCAAAGTTCTTTGCTCCGAAGAGTGTATCAATAATAATGTCGCCTGTCTGTCACTCAGCTAGTCTATCTGTCACTCGGTCTATCTGTCACTCGGTCTGTCTGTCACTCGGTCTGTCTGTCACTCGGTCTGTCTGTCACCCGCAGGTCCGAGAGGCCTGCCTCTGCTCGGCCAGGCGCTCTCCATCGACTGGGGACACCAGGACCGCAGTTTCACCGAATGGAGCCGCCGCTACGGGCCGATAATGAAGGTGACCGCCGGCTGGGAGACCATGATCGTCCTCTCCGACCCGGACCTCATCCGAGAGGCGTTCAACGGGCCGATGGCCGTCGCCCGCCAGAGCAGTCCCGGCTTCGAGCTCATCTATGCCGACAAGGGGATGGTCTTCACCAGTGGTGAAATATGGCACCAGACACGGCGGTTCACCCTTTTTCACCTAAGAAACTTTGGTATGGGTCGGTCCAGGTCGGTTGAAATAATCCACGATCAAATCAAAGAGTTCATGGAGGAGGTGCTGGAGCCCAACAAAGGGCAGCCGAGATCGGTGGACCATAGCCTGAACATCGCTATCCTGAACATCCTCTGGGCACTGGTCGCCGGGGAGATCGTCAGCATAAAGGACGCTAAACTGCTCAAGATCATAGAGAAACAGGAGGAGTTCTTCAAGGAAGCCCGGCTGTTTTTCCTTATGGCAAACGTGCCCGGTCTGATGCTGCTGCCGGAGTGGATCACCGGGATCAAGAAGATCCGCGCTATTTTCCACTACCCGATCGACCAGCTGCTGCTGCCGGCACTGGAGGGCCACCGGCGCACGGTGGACCTGTCTGGAGAGCCGCGCGACTACATCGACTGCCTGCTGCAGGAGCAGAGCCGCCAACCGGAACTGTTCACCGACCGGCACCTGCTGCGCTGCATCCTTGATCTCTTCACCGCCGGCTTCGACACCACGGCCAGCACGCTGCGCTGGGCCTTCTGCTTCCTCTGCGGCCACCAGGAGGTCCAGCAGCGGCTCCACGACGAGATCCTCGGCGTCATCGGCCGAGAGCGGCCGCCAGAGCTCGCCGACAAGGCCAGCATGCCATACACGGAGGCCTTTCTCATGGAGACGCAGCGTCTGTCCAACATCGCCGGTGTCGGGGTAGCGCACGTGAGCACGGCCGAGTTCCAGTTGGGCGGCTACACGGTGCCGCGCGGCGCCCAGGTCATCTCCAACCTGACTGCCGTCCACCTGGACGGCAGGCTGTTCCCGGAGCCGCAGCGGTTCCGGCCCGAGCGGTTCCTGGACGAGCGCGGCCAGCTGCGACCCAGCCGCGCGCTGATGCCCTTCTCCGTGGGCAAGCGCTCCTGTCTGGGAGAGACGCTGGCGCGCACAGAGCTCTTCCTGTTCGTCACCAGCGTGGTGCAGCGCTACAGACTCCGGTTCCCCGACGGCTTCCAGCACGACTTCGCCATCAACGAGTCCAAGCCTTTCGTCAAGGAGCCGAGTCCGTACCAGCTGATCCCGGAGAGGCGATGGTAGTTGTGTCTTCCAGCTGCACACGTTCAGGTGAAGAAGACAATATCCTATATCGCGGCCATGCTTGTAAGGTTAGAAATGTTTAGAAGAAAGAACTGAAGTGCGCTGAGCAAAAAAAAAAAAAAATCAATGCATTGGGCGGTCCCGATCATGCGCTATGAATGCATACAATTTGATAGTTGTATGCACTTTGCCGAGTCGGAGCCACTAACTCTTTTTGTTGAGTGTAACGGCCCGGTTAGGTGTGGCGTTTATCGTTTCAGTAAACGGTGAATAGCGACGGCTGGTGTTTTGGAAGGAATCCGCTTTGTCGTTATATGCTGCCTGAAATTGTATGCAATGTAAGTACGACATCGCTGTTATGCATCAGCGTTCAGCATTCAGCATCCATTCACTCAGCTCTTGGCGTTCTCGGCACCGATCGATGGACAAAGACGCCTGTCCAGAGGTATTACTGTTTTCATATCATTCTAATCGGCTCCTTGCTGACATACTGACACCGTCAGCAAACTCATCATTATTATCCACGTCGGTCGTGGCTAGACCGTAATACCGCCTCGATTACGCCGTCTTGTCCTGTCGGTATGTCTTATGGTGCCGATTTTACCACCATCACCGTAGTGATAACGGCCAAATACGCTGCCAGAATGGCATACATATAAGCGGCAATGAGAAGTTATTGGTGCATAGAAATGTGGCAATTAAACACAACGGCAGAGTAATATTTCATAATCACATCCTGTGTGCGTACCATGGGGACAAATATGGGTTTCCGTTTTCATTTTTGTATGCTTTCTACTCAATTAAAAAAACCTTACTTTGAACATTACAGGTAGAATCAACATGACAGCATCCATTTTTACATTCATGTTTGTATGATTTAGGTAAAAATTATATAACCAACAGCCGACAACATTACGGTAGGGGAAGTTGGGGCAATGCCGGAGTTGGGGCAAAGCCGAAATTCGAGATATTTCGAAAACCGTAAGACATGGATGCCACCTGTCAGTGATGCTCTGAAGCTTAAGTGACTACAATTATCGCATGTTTGTTACGAGTCGTCATTCGGAATACTTCGGCTGTGAGGGCGCCAAGAGCGTTTTCAAGGTACGCGTTCCTTGTACTACATGCGCCTTTGAAGCTGCATTTCTTACTCATTATGCTACCGTTTGTCTGGCCAATTCGGTCAAGTAATCTTCAGCATGTCTTTGCATAAGTGTGCTGCCTATTTGAAATTTATACCGCACGTTGAAAAGTTATGGGCCTGCAAATGAAAGTATGGCTGGCTGGGGTAATGCCGAAAACGTGCAATTACGCACGTTAAAGCACGCTACGTGGACTTTACTGCTGTAGAATAGCAACGCGAATTTTTAGTCACACAAATTACACTTTCAACCGACACAACGGCCTGTTAGCTATAAGGAATTATTTACCTGGCATTTTCTTACTATATCACACAATTATAACTTCCAGTGTGCACCAAGCGTCCTCAAGCTCTTAAAACGCGTGTCAGCTTTGATAAATTCTGGATAAAGTTTGAGATAAAGTGGCAAAACATCAATGTCGGCATTCCCCGTAGATCATTTCTCCCATTTTCGGCTTTCCCCGCAGTCCGGGGCAACGCCGAAAAAATCACTTCTTTGATATTTTTAGTTTGTGCGCTTAACGGTATGCGAATTCATCAAATGCGCCTGGTATGTTTGAAAGGCATAAGACTGGCCTCTCGAATGACGCCAACAAGAATAGCTTATGTTGTCTACCTTGCGTGCTACGGGCGTCAGAAAAAAAGTATTCGGCGTTCCCCCAACTTCCCCTATTCACTATTCAGCACCTAACGCCCTCGTCTCACCCCAGGAGGAAGTGGAGCAATGCTGCCCACTCTCAGCATCAAATCGAACTCTACGACAACGATTCACCCCGGTAAGGCCAGATTTTGCAAAGGCGAGCAGTTTTTTTTTTCAAAAAGGGACCGTTGATTATGACACTTTCTGAAGCCTTTTTGTGCTCAAAATTAAACGAAACGACATCTCGGCACAGATATCGGAACGAGCAGAGCGACATCTCGTTCCCGTGCAGATCGCAGCGGGCCAATATATCCCTTGGAAATAAACGTGCACGCCTCAAAACTGGCTTCCGTTACGCAGAATGCAATGTAAAGCCTTTCCCAGGTAAAGTGTCCTCTTGCCACGTGATGAAAACGCGTTTGAAATCTTTATGCACGTTTTCTATAAATATAAGATAGGTCATATAGTGCCCGGTTTCTAACACTTTTTGATTGTCAAATTCGTCAATATCAGCATTCAATGAGGGGAACAGCCTTCGGCCAAAGGTTTTCTCTCATGGACTGTAGGTGGCACTAGTGCACGCACTGGGCTCATCCTAGGCTGCTCAGGTCTCCCATCTTGATCTGGGTCAGAGACATGGGGACATCCATAAAGACAAGGTGTGACACATCAGCGAATTTATTCAGAGGTCATTGAGCTCTCATCGTCTCTACATTCATAAGAGACGGTCGCTGGCAAAACGAAATTAATTACATATTTAACCCGCGCCCTGCTGGGGGGGGGTGTTTGAATGCACCCCCCTTGTGGTTTTTAGCGAATATCGCCGCCGTTTTTGGTACACCTTATCATACATCAATTCTACACATGTTGTAAAAATTTCAGACCAAGGTCATTCAAGGTCAGGTCACCAGGTCACTTGAAGTGGTCTCACCTCATAAAAACTTTCAATGTCTGTCATAGCTACACCGAGTGACCGATCGCTTTGAAACTTTCAGCGATTGCTAAGAGCAATAGCATGTACAAAATGTATATCTCAGAATTTTGATATCGATGACCTAAGGTCAGGTCAATTTTGCGACCTCGCCATTATAAGTCAATGGGAGAAAATTGAAATGCGCCTCTTTTGGATGCAAGACATTATAAACACTCCCAAACACCGAATTACAAGTGGTTTAGACACACTGAACATGAAAATGGTGTCCGTGACCCTTGTTTATGCCCTGAGGTCATCTTAGGTCACGAATGGTATCTAACAGTTTTTCGCAAATAACTTTTGATAGAGGCATGCTAGAGCGATGAAAACAACTTAGATGTGTTCAGCTCGACGATACGGATCGACTGATATGCAACATGACCCTTTCCGGTCAGGTCATGACCTTGACCTGAGGTCAAATTTTCAAGTTGACCTTTCAAGGTCAAGTTATAGTTCATTCGATGCGTCTTGACGAGAGGAACACGATGCCGGTAAAAGTAAGCTCGTACAAGGCTTGGGTCAAAAGTTATTGCAGAAAAACTGTTTTCGAAAAAATCGTCTATTTTTGTAGTTTTTGCCCCCTGGAGGCAAAACCGTTCACGTTAGGTCAATTCTGAGAGAATTACTTAGAAAGGGCGTTAATAGGGCTATCGAATGCGCTTTTCCGCGGCGCTGTAGCTCTATTGGTTCCCGAGTTATGCGTTGGCTTCTTGGAAATTTTCGACATTCGACCTGGAAATCGGCGAAATTTTGCCTTCAATGACCTCTGGTGACCTGACCTTTGACCTGACCAAAAAATTGACCAAAGTGATTTCGTCATTATTTTTGACGCTCTTTCGAACGCCGCCTTCCGCGTATCGCTACGTGGCCCAGGAGCCGAGTTACAAGGGGGGGGGTGTTCAAACACCCCCCCCCCCCCAGCAGGGCGTGGAAATCCAGGACCCCCAGCAGGGCACGGGTTAACAGCCGAATTACAGACTGAAGTTAATAAAAAATACTTTAAATTAATTACAGATTGAACGAATATTCCTGATCCATTGCAGCTGTTTCCAACAGAGAGGTCGGCCAATGCATGGTACGAAGACGACTCGAGCCAGATACGCTGTCACATGTGCCTACCACATTTAAATGGTCCTTTGGTAGGGATAAGGCAGCAGTAACAGCCTGGTTACGGGTTACCTACCACCTACCACGGGACAAACACAGACCCCAATCCTCGCGAGTCCTCTGGAGTTGGAGCTAGTTTTTCCTGTGCCTCAGTGCACAAAACCACTGCAGTTGCTAGTACTGAAAGCGTGCGTTCCAAAACGCAGATGTTTATATGTAGGTAAATGTCCAGGGCCTAAGCTATAGGCCCCATGTGCGTTTATTCAACAGTGGCTGTTTTCATTAGCGTTGGTTAGGCGGTCGGTAGGCCGGATCAAAATGTTAAGTTTGAGATAACATTTATAAACACTGATACAATAAGTAACGCCGAAGTTTGTAGGCGACCGTTTCATCTGTGTAGCTAGAATAAAGGTTTGCTGTTACTATAAAGATGTAAGGTGTACATACCTAGGCAAGTTGTAGGGTTAAGGCACTTTCATTTACATTAAACGCTCATTTGCTCATCCGTTATCACTCGGCTGTCACGTAACGTACAGTAAAATAGTTTATATCAAACCAGTATAACGCCTTTTGGGGCGACTAACGGAGCGAGCGAGAGGGTGAGCCTTGCACGTGCGAAATTTCGAGGGGGTACCTCCAACTGACTTGTGCACGGCACCCTACTAACCGGTCTCTAGCGATGTGCCAAATTTGAGCACAATCGGCCCAGCCGTTCTCGAGATCTGGAAGCGGCACCCTGCACGTGCGCACGTGCAAAATGGGGCCCAACTGACTTTTGCACGGCACCCTACTAACCGGTCCCTAACCATGTGCCAAATTTGAGCGCCATCGGTCCAGCCGTTCTCGAGATCTGGAATCGACCCCTGCACGTGCGCACGTGCAGCAGCGCCCCAACTCTGGCACATGGATATGCAGTGCCTAGTGGGTGCCTACCTACATGCCAACTTTCAGCGCAATCGGCCAAGTAGTTACCGAGATATTGCAACAATTACAAAACGGACACCTCTTCGTTTTGCACGTGGCACGTGCATAAGGGGTCACCCACATGCATCGGGAATAGTCCAATACTTGGTAGAAGGAATGAAGCTATCCTACAAAAATTACCGCATGTAAATCGGTCAAGTGGTTGCTGAGATATAAGCCTCGCAAAAGCGTGACCAAGGCCGGCCGGCCGGCCGGCCGGCCAGCCACTCATACTCAGAAATTTCCGTTAATCTTATATAATACTGAACGAGGCCGGTGTAAATAAATTTTCAAGACCGAGGTCCTTACTGGATTTTTGAACGAGGCCGAAGGCCGAGTTCAAAAATCAGTAAGGACTGAGGTCTTGAAAATTTATCACCGGCCGAGTTTGGTATGTATTTTACTGTATGCCAACGATAAATTTATTTTCTGGACCGAAGCTCTTAGCCGACTTAGGAACGAGACCATCCCAAAATGTTGGCTTAAGTGCATTCTGGTAATGCATTTTTGACCGTGGTCAATTTGCTTACACCAGTTATTACCACACCCCTCTGGCTAATGTATTTGAATAGGCCAGGCATACAGTAAAAGGAAAGACTACGCTCGCTTCGCTCGCTCCGTAACAAAATGCTAAGGAATAAGCTTTCATATGGTACCAAATTTAGGATCATTGTATGTTCAGACACTGAGATATCTTAATTTCAAATGAGGTACATTTTTTGGGACACCCTGTACATTGATGACGAGTTACGAAACTGATTGATGACATTGATGAATACATTAATTGAACGTAACTTTCAAGTCTATCACTGCTATACATTCACAAGGCGTCAGGCGAAATAACGGAAGGCTTCCAATGTCCGACAACTAGGTAAACTGCTCACTATGTTTTGTGCAACTTTTGATTTCCGTCTACAACCGTTTTTCCTTTCTATAATTGTGCTTTATGCACCTATCGGTGAAGCGAAGAGTCTGATCGTATCACATTTGAACGGATGGGTATTTCCTGCAATATCTTACTCGGCTCTGGAGCAACAAATAACGAACAATAGACGGTGTTCGAAAGTCGTCAAAAATACCGGTCTTTAAAAAAAAACGCAATATCTCGGTAACTACTGGGCCGATTGCGCTGAAAGCTGGCATGCAGGTAGGCATCCACTAGGTAATGCATATCCATGTGCCACAGTTGGGGTGCTGCTGCCCGTGCGCACGTGCAGGGGTCGTTTTCAGATCTCGAGGACGGCTGAACCGATTGCGCTGAAATTTGGTACATGGCTAGGGACCGGTTAGAAGGGCACCGTGCAAAAGTCAGTTGGGACCCGTTTTGCACGTGCGCACGTGCAGGGTGCCGCTTCCAGATCTCGAGAACGGCTAGGCCGATTGCGCTCAAATTTGGCACATCGCTAGGGACCGGTAAGTAGGGTGCAGTGCACAAGTTGGTTAGAGGTACCTCTCGCGATTTCGCACGTGCAAGGCCCACCCTCTCGCTCGCTACGTTGGTCTCCCAAAAAGGCGTTTTACTAGTTTCATTTTCTTGAAAGCGGAGGTTGACTAAAAACATGCACACAGAAAAATATTGACACCGTTAGCGGTGTAATTGCACAGTACATATCTGAGCACTTGAGGAAAGTTAATTTAGTCCCTTCCCCGCTTAAATTACTCGCGCTTCCAAATGAACACCAGGAAGAAGGTAATAGAACACTGTTAGGAGGGTTGGGTGTCTTACTACATGTAGCAAAACACCCAACCCTCCTAACAGTGTTCTATTACCTTCTTCCTGGTGTTCATTTGGAAGCGCGAGTAATTTAAGCGGGGAAGGGACTAAATTAACTTTCCTCAAGTGCTCAGATATGTACTGTGCAATTACACCGCTAACGGTGTTAATATTTTTCTGTGTGTGGACAAAAGTGTGATAAGTGGATGTCACGGCAAACAGGACATTCCAATTCACAGTGAAAGAAGAACACCAATATTGTATTCATGGCTGAACTTCTGAATAAGATAAGGTGCCGAATTTCGATAACCGACGGGTAGAACAGCCCCCACCAGCCACTGGCGGGTTGAGGACATCTCGGTGGTCTCCTCTCCGACCACTGGGGGCCCTCGTCTGTCGTGTGCGGCGCGGCTGGTGTCGTTTCCGGCGGTACGTCGCGCCGGGCGGGGCGGGGCGGGGCGGGGCGGGGCGGGCGGCCGGCGGTGGCGGGGCGGCGCGGCAGTGGCGCGGCGGCCGCCGCTCGGCGCCCGCCGCCAGACAGGCCGCCAGGCCGCCGGCGGCAGCATGGCGTGCTGAGCCGCCGCCGCCCGCCGCCCGAGCCATGAGCTGGCGGCTGCCGCTGCTGCTGCTGATTGTCGGCGGCGGCCTCAGCGCACGGGTCCGCGCCCAGACAGGTCAGTTCGGCCCCCGGCCCAGTGCCCCAGACAGGTCAGTCCGGCCTCCGGTCACCCGGCAGCCCAGTCAGGTGACCCTGCGCTGTGCGCACACCTCACATCCGGCAGATCAGCGGGCGAAGGTATAACATATTCAGCTTGCAGCATGTTCCGTTTCGCTGTCATCATCTGACTATGCGACGCGTCTTGGGTGTAAATCCAGTCAAAGCTGACGTCGATCGCATTGAACATAGTTGTTCTTTGTCATTCCGTTTTTTTTCTCACTTCCTACCGAATGTGATTAATTAAATATTACCTACATACTGCAGGCTTGAATGTTTGATAGGTCAATTTAACCCAGTGGGCCTCCGCGCCACCCGCCGGCCGCTGGGGGGGAGCATATAGTTGCCCCCCCCCCCTCACTTCTGCGACGATATCGTCGCAACGCGAAGAGATAGAAACGCAAAACTTCGCATACGTCTTCCTGAATACCTAGCCGAGGTCTAAACTTGGTGTCGATCCCATTTGAAATGACGTTTCAGTGACGTCAGAAGTCAAATTGTAGATTTGCGACTCTCAGTTTCCTCACGATATATCCGATATATGAGACCGAATATAAAGGACCAATTATTGGCCAGGAACTAGGTGGAAGTGTACTTAGATGTTTAGGATGACAGCAGGTGCTGTCTAGTTCATTTACAGTTGAGTTTCATGCACAGCGACATCAGAAACGGTCCATTTCAGAAAATAGCAAAAATTTATGACGTCACTGTGACGTCATCTTAAGTGCTACAGCCGCACCAAACTTTCCTCAAACATTGCCCAGGTATTCATATGAAGCTATGCCAAGTTTCAGTTTTCACGTTCATAGCTCATCAGGTCTCGGAGATATTCCACAAAATGTAAAGGGGTTAACTTTATGACCCCCCCCCCACCTGTTCATGGGTTAAAGATGATCAATTGAAAAAATGACTTTAATGAGCATTTTTTATCATTTACCATTATAGCGATCGCAAACTTGTATTATCACCATGAAATAAACGCCGTCGCACCTATTCAGAATCACCTACCAATCAGGAGTTCCGATAACATACCTATGGGTCTCAAATGCAGGGTGTGAGTTTCAGGCATCTTCACCATGGTAGAAGGGGATGGGGTGACGACCACACCCCACTATGTCAAAGGCTAGAAAGACACAGAAAGGCAATTTATAGCTCTAAATAACTGCTCTACAGGTATAAAGTCGCTTTTCATTCAAGTCAAAACTGGTCACTAGAGGTTATCAAATGCAAAGATGCAGGGTTTTGTAAAAAAAATCCGATCTTGGAACGCTTTATAAACCAGCGCATGCTAGCCACGGCTAATCTCAGCTTTGAGCTTTACAACGACCTCAGCTACCAAACGAGCTGCAACGACACGGAAAGCGCATTCGAGATATCTATCAAAGTTCTTCCGCTGCCTGACACGTCCTCTTATTTGACGTCAATTCAACGATTTGACCCGCAGAGGTCGAAAACGAACAAAACTGACCGATATTCCCGAAACGTTTGCGCTACAACTTCCTTAGCATTCATCGATGTATGAAATTCATTTTAGAAGCACCAGTTCAACTGTTTACCATGTGAATAAGTGTCTAACGATTTACAATAGTGACCTGAATTGGTCTCTCTTAAAAGTTGACCTCAGGCAGAGGCTTAGGTCATGGCCCGACCAGAGAAGGTCACGCTGCATATCTCTCGATCCGTTTTTTTTCAAGCTCAACAAATGGCCAAATGGCCTTCGTCGTCGAGGCGTCCTCAAACACAAACCCAAAGCTCAACAAATGCCAGGAGATTTCATCGCTCTGCCTTGGCTACATCAAGTGTTGATCTTCTGCTTATGAGATGCCATTGAATTTAATTTGATTGCCATTGAAAAGCTGCTTATGACATGACCTACCATGATCTTTCACGTGCTCGCTGCCGCCATTATCGACACCCTGTCAAAGGCATATGGGTGAAGAGTTTATGATTCTGAAAACATTTCGAAGTTGTGGCGCATTTGTTCATAATAGGAGGGATTTATACTTTTCCCCATTGTTTTTCAATTCTCTCCTGACTCCGAGTGGGAGACACTGTGAAAATTTACATATACACATTGTTGGAATTAATGCCATTGTGCAACACAGCGAGTTTCAAAACTTGAACTAGGAGGTACCTGATCTGTAGAAACGAACGACTGCAATTTCAAAAAGGCTGCCCCATTGATCTTAGATCGTCTGGGGTCAACATTTTTGCATACGATGCAAAATGGATGAATGACGAGCTGTAGGTATTCTACAGTTTCGCAGCATTGCATGCCATGGTTTTCTTTACACACATAGGTCCTCTTCAGTTCATCCGAGGAAACTGCGTGACGTCTCCGTCCGTCCATAGAGGTACTACTCAGTGATCATTTGCGGCTGATTTGACCAATTCTTATCAAGTAGGGGGCAGTGACAGCAGATCCGAGCACGCAGTCCAGATCACCCTGGGACCGCCACTGCGGCAGACCGCTACCAGTATAAACACACCAGAGGCGGCGTGAGGAACAGCGGTCTCGAGCGGTCCAAAGGACCGAGTGATCACATGGTCCGGTGGTCCAGCAGACCGGCCACCGGGTTATCACAGCTCGTTCAATGAATGGTCGGACAGACAGACATAGTGGCTTGTAACACTACTTGACCCTCGCCCGTATGGGGCGGTGAACGAAATCCCCTCGGTTTTTCGCAAATAACTCGCGTAAAAAGCGGCCGATCGCAACGAAGTTCCTCGAGTATCCTCGAGTTAATCAATTTTACACCTGTGCTAAAAATTTCATGACCCTGACCCAAATAACCTTTGACCTGTGACCTACTTTCCGAGACCATGTTTGGCCGGACTCGCGATTCGGCGTATGTCGGCTCGCATTAGCCGCGCGTTTGCAGTCTTTTCATGATTTCAAACGTTCAAGCACGTGATATATCACGTACAATATCACGATACATAATTCAATCATCTTTGATCATGTCAAATGTCATGTCACCACAGGTGATCAAAAGTAAAATCTTCCCCATTTCGACCTTTTGGAATAGCTAGGTAATTTTTTTAGCTGTTGAATTATTTGAGCCACAAAATCGCGTTAAGATGCATGCGATAGATCTTTTACCGGCATCCTGTTCTCTCATCGAGACCTGTCGAATGAATTATAGGTTGACCTTAAAAGGTCAAATTGACAAGTTGACCTAAGACCAGGGTCATGACGTGGCCATAAAAGGTTATGTTGCATATTAGTCGATCCGTATCGTTGAACTGAATGCATCTAAATCTAGCATTTCTCTATCAATATTTACCGACACTTGACTTAAACCCGCGCCCCGTTGGGGTCTGCCGTGCAGCGTGCCCCATTGGGGGGCATTTTGCCCCCCCCCCCCCCTCCCTAAGATCTCGAGAACAACGCAACATAGCGACAAGCAGCTAACGGCGTTGGATAGCCCCAACCGGGAACTAACTTGTGAGTGACCCAAGTTCATTGACCTCGGTGAAACCGATGACGTCACAGGTCAGGTCAAAGGTCGAATATTCACCGTTCAGGCATTTCAAGAAATGTGGTGTAAAATCGAGTAAAATGCATGGCATTGAAAATCATCGATGGGGAGTTGTTCGTCAAACACATATCTTGCTATCTGAGGTCACTGATACCAGGTCAGGTCACAGCGGTCAGGTCACTGAGGGTCACAATATGAAAATACTATGTGATGCATGTTTTATGGTCCTTTTCAAATGACAAATGTTATTATCCCTAGAACGCCTAGGGGGGGGGTTGTATCAACCCCCCCCCCCTGAGGTTTTTTCGAAGTGCACGCTAAACGGCTTGTCGTAGCGGGCTGAAATTTTCAATACGCTCTGGGGCAACCTTTGCGCATCTTTTGCCGAAAAAAAATTGATCGGGTCATGTCAGGTCACGGAGGTATGACGTCATAAGAGGTACAGCCTCCGGCCGGATTTTCACAAACTGAGTGCCAACGCCTGAGGTTTCCTGCCGGTGGTACGGACATCGGTTGATGGATCGTGATGAAACTTCCCATGCATGTTGGGGCAAGTATTGGCTATCATATGGTATAAGAAATTTGACCGGGTCAGGTCAGGTCACGGAGCTATGACGTCACAAGAGGAACAGCGTCCGGTACTATTTTTGAAAAGCGCCCGAACCACTATTTTGCTAATTCTTGTCACCTCAATGGGAATATGCAGCAATATTAGCTTCTATAGGGAGCAAATGGACCTCCCAAATCCAAAAATACAATCAGATTTCAAAAAAATTAAATTTTGATTTTTCGAACTTCTGCCGCCGACTGTGACCTTGCCGACTTCCGGCGCTCCCAACGCGCCATTTTTAGAGCTAGGGAATCGAAATACATACCAAACGATAGAGAATTGATCAAGAAACACGATAGTGAAGGTTTCAAGTCGATATCTCCCACCGTTTTGCCGCAATCGCCGCCGAAAGTTGAAAAAGTCTATTTTTCCGAAAATTTGACCTTTGACCGGTCAAAAGTAGGTCAAATGTTGACCTAGGACCAAAAAATATATCACCAATCGCGAGATCTCGTTGAGAGCAATCCGTTGGTTTTTTCCGCTAAGCTCTACGACCTTCCGTTTCGAAACGCCAGGGGGGGTCGTAACAACCCCCCCCCCTGGTCGTTCGTGTTATGAGAAATGGCCTGGTCGTGCGAGGGTTATGTGGGTCAGGCAGCCTTTAGGGCCAGTTAGGGTTATGTTCTGGTGAAGGTCAGGTCAAGGTCAGGTCAAATTAGGTCAAATTTCAAACTTGATATTTTTGCATAAAATGCGTTTCGATTCGATGCAGCTGCTCGGCATGAGGAGTCTAATGGTGGTCTTTGTTTTGTGCTACGTGGTCTAGAATTGCCAGAAATTGAGGTAAAAAATTTTTCATCCACTTTGAACATTTTTTTTTGCTAGTACTTGGCTAAAAAAGGAGGTATCGATCTAAAATTGGTTATGCAGATAGAAGAGCGCAGGGACTATCATATACCTATATTCTGTTTTTAATTGAAAAAATGGGATTTTTTTGCTGTTGAATTATCTTTTATTTTTGGGTCAAAATCACACAATTTTAAACACCCGAGATAGCAGTTGTGTAGCGCCGTCTTTTCTCTACACGACCATATAAAGAAATTTGAAATCGCTTGTTCACTGTATCTTTTGTGAGCCTTTCAAGATTTCATGTTTTTTGCTCATTTTTGCTCGAACATGACTTCAGTTTGACCTCAATAACTCCTGACCTAAGGTGACCTTAGGCTTGAAATTTTGTGTGAAGGTGTCAAGTGAATGCCCGAAAAGGTACTGAAAATTTGTTTTCTTGCTATTCAGGAAAAATCACAGGGGGCCATATTGCCCCCCCCCCCCAACGGGTCGAGGGTTAAATGCTGAGAGTCCAATTGACCCTAAAAGGTCAACTTCACACTTTGACCAAAGACCATCTCATGACCTGACCAAAAAAGCCTGTGTTGCATATCAGTCGATCCGGACCGGATCCTTGAACTGGAATACAGTTAAGAGTATCTTTTTAGCATAACCTCTATCAAAAGTTGTCGAAAAACTGCTGATGACGTTTCGTAACCCCGAGATGACCTTAGCACTCAGCAGTATGAAGCGGGATCACGGGTGCAATTTTTCGATTCAATGCTTAATGATAGCCTGCATCCAGATGTTTTGGAGTTAAGTGTGACTTCCGTCCAAAACAGGCACAGTCCAATGTTATCCCATGGACGATGGACAATTGACCCGACATTAGGTAAACGATTTGAAAATTCTGAATTATAAATAGGTACATACATTCTCTTGCCCTCCACATTTACTGAACATTTTAAAGCGATCGGCCGATCGGTGTACCAAGCTATGGCAAGCATAGAAGCTTTTTCTAGCTTAATGCTACTTGGCGTGACCTGTTGACCTGACCTAACCTTGAATGAACCGGGTCTGACATTTTTAAAATATGTGCAGAAATTATGTATGAAAAGGTGTGCCAAAACTTTTTTTTAGATTTTAACGAAAAAAAAAACTCTAGGGGGTGTTCATGTTCAAGCCAAGATGGACGCGGTTTAACAATTCACGTTTTGAGATGTTGTGTGACCCCGAGCGACATAATGTTTGGTCAAACACGTGTTTTAAATGGCAAACCATGATAATTGACAGTAAAAATATCAATGATTGGTGGATATTTATGAGACCAATTGTTTGATAGAAACTTCCAATCAGATAAACATAAATTTGCAAGAGGTGAATTTAAAGTGCCACCGATTGAATTTCGTGAACATCACTTTCAGTTCCGGTGTTTCACTTTTTGTCTGTCGCCATCAGTTGAAAAAAGTAGAAAAGGTTGTAAAAGCGCCTGTTAAATTACATATGCCCTTATCCCAGAGCTACCCTAGAGCTGACTGGTGTTTAAAAAATGTCATCTTGAGCTTGCTTCATGTTTTAGACAACCAAATAAAATGTATTTTTTTCTGAGATCACGATTACCCACGGGTGGGAAAAAATAAATTGAATTCCTAGCATTATTCCGAATATTTCAAATATTGGAGGAATGAAAAGGATTTTAGGGAAAGCTCAGTCTTGTTTTCTTTCTGGGTAAAACACGCAGGTCCGACTGCTATACGGCTCATTTACGCTCAATTCTGCGTGACGACACAAACTAAGACGGCTGTGCGGCTCGGCGTGTTTTCGCTGAGCACGCCGTTACGCTGGTGCAGCCGCGCTGTTCCGGCACCCGTTCCGGCGCGGTCGGCGGGGGCGGCCGCTGCACGGCCGGCCCGGAGCCACGGCTCCCTCAGTGCCGGCTCCGTGTCCGGGCTGACGTGATGGCACCGCCAATTAAACAAACCTCGCCGCCTGCATGTGAGCGCGTCTGCGGACGCCGGATCCACTCGCCGCCAGCTGCAGCCGGCCTCAGAAAACAGCCGGATCGCTACAGTCCCAGCAGCAGGACCGTTAGAAGTCAGCCGAGCAAAAACGGGAAACGAACTTACTTGACATCCATCTTGGCGAGCGTATTTGACATGTCTATAACCGAAAGACCGCATCGAGGGCTGAAATCTAGGTATCTGCCCACAAAGTCTGTTTCCTCTGAACCCTCATCCTATCTCTACGCACGTCTGTGGCTCAGTCCTTGGCTCAGTCAAACTCGTGCTAAGTCCCCTGACACAGTCGTCCGCCGTCGCCCCGGCCGAGCTCGCTCTTTGACGGGTTTCGGCGGCGGATGGCGGCCGGCCGGCCGACGAGTCCGCTCTGTGCCCAGTGCGCCCGGCTCGTCTTCTGAATGTTTACACTACAGAGACCCAAATTCCTGGTGACCGGCGCGCGTCCGGGCGCGCCTGGCTCGTCTCAGCCGTCGCCGGCCCGCTGCAATGTTGTTCCTAGCCGCTCTGACGAGCTGAGCACTCTAACGAATTCACCGTGTCCGTCCGGCCGGCCCGGCGCTGCGGCCGACGACCCCAGCGGCAAAACCTTCCTCCAGCCGCGCCACTGGGTCGCAGCCCGGCGACCAGTGCCGCCCGGCTCCGCGGCGGGCCCCATCCCCGCCTCGGAACACTCTCACGCTCAGCCTGGGCGCGGGGCGGGATGTAGAATTGCTGACTGGTTGGAGCGTTGGTGGAGGGTGCAGATTGGCAGACACGATAGTCGGTTGAGGCCCGGCAGTGGCGGTCAGTGCAACCAGGAGAAGAAGAATAGGCTCTGAACATTGTCAGGAAGAACTTCACTCGACAAAAGGCATGTTTGGTTGTAAGAAATGGATTATGCTTTGAAACCTAGCGGACTTAAGTCAGCGATGCCAGCTGATGAAGTTTCTCCAACGTCTGCCATAGTGATGCAAATTTTCCCTATGATGGCGTTCCCAGACCAATAGTTTTAAAATTGGGAGCTCTTTTAGCCTACCGGTACCATAGTTTCTGAACCAGAAAGTGTCACCGCTGAAGGCTACTCGAACTGACCTATAGCGGAAAATGATTCACCAAGCCTATTCGTACATCGCTTCATTCAATACAAACTAAACAAAATCCTCCAACCGCTGAGACATGTCAGTCTCTGCAATTGCTCCGTCTGAAGACGTCGGCAGCAGTTCAGAATCCCCGTGCTGCTCTGATTCCCTGTGGAGTCTGTCCGTCACTCGCGGGTCCTGTGGGCTCACTCGCTCGCCGCCTCGGCACGCAGCTGGCCAATCCTGCAGACACTGCGGATCTCCGAGACCGGTACCGACCCCTGCACAGATAAACAGTGGAGCAGCCGACCCCGACACGCTATGCGCGCCAGCGCACTTCCAGAAACATGCGCACTAAACAGTTTGCACGTTTCAGTTAAATGCTTAGAGTATGGCTTCATTCGAAGCATATCGGAGACCCGAATCAGCTTGAATCAGGCTACGATCCTAGATCATCCTGCATTTTGTCAGTAATAGATAGGAGATTCGCACATGGGTGGTTTCGCTCCCAATGCAAATCCTCTGTACGTGTCCCCCAGCAGGCGGCAGCGGCGCAGTGAGTGTCAACCATCCCCATACACTCAGTACTCCGTCCAGTGAGTGTCCCAGCAGTGAGTAACTCCCCCTGTATGTGTCCCCAGCAGGCGGCAGCGGCGCGGCGTCCGACCTGCTCTGGGCGGAGTATCCCCCATAGTGACTCGCTCTGTACATATGTGTCCCTCAGCAGGCGGCAGCGGCGGCTGTCCCAGCAGTGAGTGACTCCCCCTGTATGTGTCCCTCCTCAGCAGGCGGCAGCGGCGCGGCGTCCGACCTGCTCTGGGTGGAGCATCCCCCATAGTGAGTGACTCGCTCTGTATGTGTCCACCAGCAGGCGGCAGCGGCGGCTGTCTCAACAGTGAGTGACTCCCCCTGTATGTGTCCCTCCCCAGCAGGCGGCAGCGGCGCAGTGAGTGTCAACCGTCGCCATATGTACACTCGGTACTCAGCCCAGTGAGTGCCCCACATAAGGTGACTCCCCCTGTATGTGACCCCAGCAGGCGGCAGCGGCGCGGCGTCCGACCTGCTCTGGGCGGAGTATCCCCCACAGTGAGTGACTCCCCTGTCTGTGTCCCTCCCCAGCAGGCGGCAGCGGCGCGGCGTCCGACCTGCTCTGGGCGGAGTATCCCCCACAGTGAGTGACTCCCCCTGTGTGTGTCCCTCCCTGCAGCAGGCGGCAGCGGCGCGGCGTCCGACCTATAGTGAGTGTCCCAGCAGTGAGTGACTCCCTCCGTATGTGTCCTCACTGCAGCAGGCGGCAGCGGCGCGGCGTCCGACCTGCTCTGGGCGGCCGGCATCTCATCCGGCCTGCTCGAGGTCAGCCCACAGCAGGGCCGCTGTGAGGACCGGCCACAGACGGACGGCTCGCTGGCGGACGATGTGGCCTACTCGATCCAGCCGGGCGTCATCGCCAGCGTGCCCACCGCACAGGCCTTCGGTCAGTACACCGCACAGGCCTTCGGTCAGTACACCGCACAGGCCTTCGGTCAGTACACCGCACAGGCCTTCGGTCAGTACACCGCACAGGCCTTCGGTCAGTACACCGCACAGGCCTTCGGTCAGTACACCGCACAGGCCTTCGGTCAGTACACCGCACAGGCCTTCGGTCAGTACACCGCACAGGCCTTCGGTCAGTACACCGCACAGTCCTTCGGTCAGTACACCGCACACCGCACAGGCCTTCGGTCAGTACACCGCACAGGCCTTCGGTCAGTACACCGCACAGGCCTTCGGTCAGTACACCGCGCAGACCTTCGGTCAGTACACTGCACAGGCCTTTGTTTAGACTTTAGTAGGTGCCGTTTAGTACATAGGTATTCGTAGAGGCATTCGGTCGGTACCCGCAACGACCTTCGGCTAGTACTTGCAAAGGCCTCCGGTCAGTATAGCACGCAAAACAACCTAATGGAGCGTCTTTCATGTGTGTATCCTTCTTATAGCTCCAAAATTCCCGGCATTTTTGTAGACTTGCGTGTTTTGCCTACAAATTATACGTCCCTTGAGGCCTTGATTATACTCGAATGACCCTAAACTTACTACCCTATAGTTAAATGTTAGTTTTTCAGAAGTGCCATATAATTACGTTCTTATTTATTTAAGTGCTGGGATCATTATATGACAGAACTTTCGGGATGCTCTGTTAACCTTTGTCTTGTCTTTTTCTTCAGAGAGCCTTCCTCCTGACTTCTCAATTTTAACAACAATACGATCAAAACAAGGAACGACTGGCATCGTACTCGGTATATATAGCAACGAAGGAGAGGTAAGAATGGCCCTTTTCCCTCTTCGTAACGGTTATGCTCATCTGCATTAATCTTTGTGTTTGTATTACCTTGTTTTTGCTTAGTGAAGTCTCGAAGCAAACACTGAAGAACGGATATATCCAGAGTCGAACAGCACCGTAGAAAACCAGAACTACCAGTTGAGAATTGGTCACCGCTGTTTTACAGGATCAACTTTTGCTAGTTGTCGGCGATACAGTACAACTCACGATCGGAACAGACGATGGAAAGGCGCAAACTATCGAATTCCCAGCCAAGATCAACAACGGCAAGTGAGTTACCACACTGCAATCAGGCGGACGAACGGCAGGCCCGCTACTTCTGCAGCTTTTTGTTCTCTTCGTTTGTTTTCACTCATGTGTGAATGCAGCAAACGAGATGGATCATTTGGTTCATAAGCGGGCGACTAGCTCGGTACTCACCTCGTCCCGTCAATAACAGCTAACTCAGTATGTAACTCAGCTAATTAACCTCTCTCTGTCTCTGTCAATAGCAGCTAACTCACCTCTCTCTGTCCAGGTGGCACCGCCTCTCAATAGCACCTAACTCACCTCTGTCTGTCTAGGTGGCACCGTCTGTCGGTGGCCGTCAATAGCCAGCTAATTCACCTCTCTCTGAGCAGGTGGCACCGTCTGTCGGTGGCCGCCAGTGGCAGCAAACTCAGTATGTAACTCAGCTAACTCAGTATATAACTCAGCTAACTCACCTCCCTCTGCCCAGGTGGCACCGTCTGTCCGTGGCCGTCAATAGCACCAACTCACCTCTTTCTGTCCAGGTTGCACCGACCACCAGTCTCAATAACAGCTTACTCGCCTCTCTCTGTGCAGGTGGCACCGCCTCTCAATAGCAGCTAACTCACCTCTCTCTGTGCAGGTGGCACCGTCTCTCGGTGGCCATCAAGGGCGACTCGGCCACCCTGTTTGTCGACTGCGGCCAGCAGCCCCTGACACAGGCACTGGACCGGAGGCCCGACTTCCGTCTGGACACCGCCGGAGTGACCATCGTCGGACAGCATCTGCTGGGCAGCCAGGCATTCCAGGTGAGGACATTGACTTCACTGTATGCTCCTATAAACACTGTCACAGGGGTACGTTGTCATTTATAAATGACACTCTAACACAGGCACCTGTCGCAAGCAAACGTGAGGTCACATGGGGAGGGTGTCACATTAAAACGCTCTTATGTAGGTATATAATATAGTATATAGCCAACACCGTTATGTAAGTACACACACCAAACACGCTGTCACGAAAGCGCTGTCAGATGTCACGCACAGTCACATAACATCACTAATAACACACTCACGTGGTAATTACATGCACAGCCTCCCGTAATGTAGCGCCTAGCCAGCTAACGCCTGTTCCGCCTCTCCCTCCGTCCCACAGGGTGACCTCCAGCAGGTGCTGGTTGTGCCCAGCCCGGCGGCCGCCTACGACTACTGTACCCAGTTCTCGCCCGACTGCACCGTGCCGCTACCCGTGCTGGAGGAGCCAACTGACCGACAGCTGCCCATCACCGACTATGGAGACTACAACGGACAGGACATCGACTACGACGCCGAGTCTCAGGTGGGAACAACGGGGAAAGGCGGGAGGAAAGCACGTCTGGGTGAATGGTTTACACATTTGGGTATTATTGCCAGTCTCTTCATGAAATCACAAGTACAGGATTCATGGACTTAGGCACACACATAATGACATTTGTGAACGTTTTGCATTTTTAAAGTCAGTATCGTTTAATAAATCGAATCACCGTCGCATGATCAGTTAGGATGATCAATCACAAGTGCTGGACCCAACTCAACTCAACTACAACACAAAGTAAATTGTAAAATGATCGAACCCTGTGATTTGACCGGACTCCACCCTTTTTCAGCCCCCGCCGGAGGAGTCACTGCCGCCGATAGAGCCGCCTCCTCCTCTGGGAGGCTCCGACTCCACCGGACCGCCGCGGCCTCCTCCCCAGCAGGGCCTCCGGGGCCTACCCGGCCCGCCGGGGCCCCCCGGACCCAAGGGAGAGCCCGGCAGGAACGGTCTGCCCGGCAGCAACGGCATCTCCGGCCCGCCGGGCAACGTGTTCATGATCCCGGTCAGTGGCACACGCCCATCTTCTTGAGCGGCACCTGATGCGGTGGTTGGGTCATAAGACTGGCTGAGTGGTGTAACCAGTCATGAATAACGGGGTTCTTGAGATGGTGGCGGATGAAGCATGGTTGTGCAGTTTCACTGTTGTTTGTTTTGGGACAAAAAATTCATGCGAATTATATCGGCGTTGTCTGAATAGCTGCTCACTTTTTGGTGCCCAAGATTATTTTTCTCCTGATTCTATATGGATGCATGACGTATAATCAAACGTGCATTTGCGTAATCATCGATCTCCCCAAACTTATCGTGTCTTCCCCTGCTCATCGTTCGGCATCAGTCATGTCACAAAACTCGTTCCCTTTCCCCTCGCAGATCAACAGCGCCAACGGCGAGAAGGGTCCCGACGCCGAGGTGGAGTCGATGCGACTGATGCTCAACCAGCACATGGCCTCGATGAAGGGCGCCCAGGGTCCGAGGGGAATGGCCGGCCTGCCCGGCCCGGTCGGCCCTACCGGTCACGCCGGCGTCAAAGGAGAGGCCGGCGAACCCGGAGAGCCGGTGAGTCAAGCATCGTACGATTTTAAAAAGGAGCATGAAACGACAGTGCTATGCGTTTAAGCGCTTTAAGCTCTTTGTTCATTGGAGCTTTATTTACTAAGCACTTTTCTGTGTTTCTTTTGCCCTGTTGAGCGTCCGTGGTCGCATCTGTGTCTATTAGCTCTAGTGAGGGCCCACAACTGACTGCCGCTCCTTCTCCGTGTCAGGGCGCTCGCGGTCGGCGCGGCCCCGCCGGGCCCACTGGCAGAGACGGACGTCGGGGGCCCGCCGGCAGAGACGGCGAGCGGGGCCTCTCGGGACCCACCGGCGAGAAGGGAGAGCAGGGACTGAGAGGAATGCCAGGTGAGCGCGACGGCAGCCGAACTTACTCGCGAACAGTCCCGTGCTATTTCCAGTATTTCGATTGCTTTCATGACCAATTGGATACCATTGATTGCCCAAGTGAATGCTACATTGTGCGTGATGTGCGTGTGTGCTGACAGCTAGCCGAGGTTTATTGATGGGCTGATCACCATATTCCCTTCCGTCCGACAGGCCTTCCTGGCGATAAGGGCCACCGCGGCCGGCGGGGCCCCCGCGGAGAGCGGGGCACCACCGGCCGGGACGGGCCCCGCGGAGAGGAGGGCCCTCAGGGCGCCCCCGGCGTGCCCGGAGAGATGGGACCGCGCGGCTTCCCCGGCGCTCGCGGCTTCGGCGGCCTGCCTGGAAACCCGGGCATTCCCGGATCGGAGGGCCCGCCCGGAATCAAGGGCAACGCCGGTCCGACGGGCCAGGCGGGCTCGACGGGCCAGCCGGGCGCGCGGGGCCCGCCGGGCACCACCGGCCCCCAGGGCGCCGTCGGACCCACCGGACCAGCGGTGAGTCCGCACTGGCAGCAGAGCTGGCCATGGCTGGTAGATCAGGAGCCCTGCGCATATATAGCTCACAAATATTGCGTACGATCTAGCTCAGCAATGTATGAATCTGAAAATTCCATTTTCGTTCATAAACAAATATCCAAATGCAAGGGCGCGCTGTTTGAATTGCTCAATCAGAATCAAAAGCAAGTATGCATTTTTTTAGGTTCTATGAGGAGCAACTCAGTTCGTATGACCTACCAGTTAGTGCACCATACGCCATATCTTACCATCTGACCCCATCTTTCCTGACCCTACAAACTTGCTGACCTGAGCTGCGTATGTGTCTGTAGGGAATGCCTGGAAAGCAGGGTCTCCAGGGTTTGCCGGGCCACGAGGGCACGCCCGGTCTGCCGGGTCTGCCCGGAAAGGCTGGCGCCAAGGGAGACCAAGGCCTCATCGGGGCTCCGGTGAGTAGGGAAAGGAGAAGAAGAGAAGGACAAAGAGGGAAAGAAAGTGAATGGGGACATGGGTCATTCGTGATAACGGGCCGGACGAATGCATTGGCATGGTGAACAGGGATTGTTGATTAACCCGCGCCCAGCTGGGGGGGGTGTTTGAACACCCCCCCTTGTGGTTTTTCGCGAATATCTCAAAAACGGCGGCGCGGAGCGCCGCCGTTTTTGGTACACCTTATCATACATCAATTCTACACATGTTGTGAAAATTTCAGACCAAGGTCATTCAAGGTCAGGTCACCAGGTCACTTGAAGTGACCTCACCTCATAAAAAGTTTCAATGTCTGTCATAGCTACACCGAGTGATCGATCGCTTTGAAACTTTCAGCGATTGCTAAGAGCAATAGCATGTACAAAATGTATATCTCAGAATTTTGATATCGATGACCTAAGGTCAGGTCAATTTTGCGACCTCCCCATTATAAGTCAATGGGAGAAAATTGAAATGCGCCTCTTTTGGACGAAAGACATTATAAACACTCCTAAACACCGAATTACAAGTGGTTTAGACACACTGAACATGAAAATGGCGTCCGTGACCCTTGTTTATGCCCTGAGGTCATCTTAGGTCACGAATGGTATCTAACAGTTTTTCGCAAATAACTTTTGATAGAGGCATGCTAGAGCGATGAAAACGCCTTAGATGTGTTCAGCTCGACGATACGGATCGACTGATATGCAACATGACCCTTTCCGGTCAGGTCATGACCTTGACCTGAGGTCAAATTTTCAAGTTGACCTTTCAAGGTCAAGTTATAGTTCATTCGATGCGTCTTGACGAGAGGAACACGATGACGGTAAAAGTAAGCTCGTACAGGGCTTGGGTCAAAAGTTATTGCAGAAAAACTGTTTCCGAAAAAATCTGCTATTTTTGCAGTTTTTGCCCCCTGCAGGCAAAACCGTTGAAGTTAGGTCAAATCTGAGAGAATTAATCAGAAAGGGCGTTAATAGGGCTATCGAATGCGCTTTTCCGCGGCGCTGTAGCTCTATTGGTTCCCGAGTTATGCGTTGGGTTCTTGGAAATTTTCGACATTCGACCTGGAAATCGGCGAAATTTTGCCTTCCATGACCTCTGGTGACCTGACCTTTGACCTGACCAAAAAATTGACCGAAGTGATTTCGTCATTATTTTTGACGCTCTTTCGAACGCCGCCTTCCGCGTATCGCTACATGGCCCAGGAGCCGAGTTACAAGGGGGGGTGTTCAAACACCCCCCCCCCCCAGCAGGGCGTGGAAATCCAGGACCCCCAGCCGGGCGCGGGTTAAGTTGCCGAATGTCGAGTAGGTATGTAGCATTGTCAATTAACTGTTATTCTGTCATTGCCCCCCATCTGACCACCCTCCGCTGCGTTTTCAGGGCGCCGTCGGCTTCCCGGGCCCTCGCGGCACCAAGGGTGACCGGGGCGGCCGCGGACCGTCCGGCGAAAAGGGCTCCAAGGGAGACATGGGCATGGACGGCCAGAAGGGAGACATGGGGGAGAAGGGAGAACGCGGAGAGACCGGGCCGCAGGGTCTCCCCGGCCTCGAGGGACCGGAGGGAGCCAAGGTGAGAGACAGGCGACAACTGGCCTGGCCAGTAATAGCACAGCGCATCATGGCGTTAAATATGTAACCGGCATGTCTCTGACATACAGCTCAATCAACAACAATGAATTGCTACCGGCACTTTCTGGCTGTAAACATGAATTATAAATCGGCACTAGCACCCGTGTCTGTTATGTGTTTGCTAGCGTTGTACAAATCGTGGTATCGTTGCAGACATTTCGTAATGCTGTCTATTCTTATCATACATGTGTACTGTGTAAAACCTTTGAAGTTTGTCGACGAACCTGTGAGTTTACTTCAACCATAACATTCATATACCTGAGTGACGTGTCTTTGTCGAGCAACGCTGTAAGGAAGGCAGTGCATTGTATCAACCACCCCAGCCGTTCATCCCTGAACGCTACTGACCAACTCCCGCCCTCCCCCGTTTATCCAGGGTTTCGAGGGGCCTCGCGGCGAGGTAGGGCCGGTCGGCCTGCAGGGCGACAAGGGCACGCCCGGTGCGCAGGGTTTCCAGGGCTACCCCGGCTCGCCCGGCGAAAAGGGCGACAAGGGTGCCGAGGGCCAGCAGGGCCAGACGGGCCACAAGGGCGAGCACGGGCCGGACGGACCTCCCGGCGAGCGAGGAGAGCGCGGACCGAGGGTGAGTCGACCGAGCTGAGAGGCTTACGGATTGGTGCTGGCGAGCGGCGAAAAACCAGAGAGGGTCTATCAGAGTGGAAAAGGTTTGCATACGAGCTTTTGATTTCCGATTAGTGGGATTCCTATTAGGATTAGTCGAGATGGCAAATTCATTTCAAACAATATACCAGCAAGTAAACCAATTAAAACCCAATGAGACAGCCTTGAGCTGGAGACAGAGTACAGTACTGATCAGTCGGTAAAATGTCATACGATTTCTGATCTTTTATCGCAAACTAATGCTGATCCGCCATACTGATGTGTCGTTTTCGAGTAGGGATTCCGCGGATCCCGCGGCCGCCGTGGAGCACGAGGGCCCATCGGACCCAAAGGAGACACCGGCCGACCGGGCCCACCCGGGCCCCAGGGCCAGTCGGGTCTGGTGGGCCCCGAGGGCCCGCGCGGCTTCCAGGGAGAGCAGGGCCCACCGGGAGTCGACGGGAAGGACGGTGTTCCGGGACCGCCCGGAGAGCGGGGCCAGCAGGTGAGTAAGGAAGAATGGGTTGGACAATGGACAGGGCGGAGCGGGGGCAGAGAAGTCGAAAAAGTAGCTTATCAATCGAAAAGGTCGAAAAGGTAGCTTATCAATACTTTACCACAGCCTGCAAATTACAACTTACAGCTTGGAACGATCTTCTCCGAGATTGTTTGGTTTTAGTTGCCGCTTTCATTGATGTCGGTTCCCGTAGAGTCCAACGGCATTTCCGTACCACTGTTGTCCTTTCTGTGTACTTTATTTCATATAATGGCCGACAGGCGTCTGTTCCGTTTGTCCGTCTACATTCCCTCCACTGACACTGTGTGTCTGTGTATCGGCAGGGCGAGCCGGGTCCGCCGGGCCGCCAGGGCCCCGCCGGCGTGGTGGGCCCTCCCGGCACCATGGGAGAGCCCGGTCCTACCGGCGACTACGGAGCGCCCGGCCTGCCCGGCCAGCCAGGACAGCCTGGGCCTCCGGGAGCCGCCGGGAAGGAGGGCCCCATCGGCCCGATCGGACCCCAGGGCAAAACGGGCGCCATCGGCTCCCCGGGCCTGCCGGGCTTCCCTGGCGACCGCGGCCTGCCCGGACTGCCGGTACGTGCTGCTGCGGCACCGCACTGAACTGACTGCTGGTAGCTGCTAACTAGCGGAACGGGTCCGAGTTTTTTTTCGTAATTGGTATAAGAGTTCACAGGGGAACGTATATGTTCATAATTTACGAATGCAGTGTGAGATCATACAATTATCACAGCAAATTCAAAATAGCTCCAGAATTTCTCAAGAAGTTGCTATTTACAGCCGATAAGTAAATGTTTATTCGTTTATATACAAATAAAAATGGTCAAGAGCGTCAAATAAGAAAAAAAACATTAAGCAGATAATGCACAGCATTTACACCGTCTGTGTCTTTCGCAGGGTCTTCAAGGCTTGAAGGGCGAAATGGGACCAGAGGGCATCCAAGGAGTCCAAGGTGACAAGGGCCAGATGGGTCCATCCGGAAAGGAGGGCCCTCGAGGACCTCGTGGGCCCATCGGACTTGTCGGAGGGCAGGGGCCCGCCGGAGCCAAGGGTGATCAGGTGAGCTAAATGATCTTGTTAATATAAACACGACCTTGTTCTGAAGAAATCACGCGATCTCCGAATATCACAAATATATTTTTAGTTTTCTTACGATCGCTTTCCAAGAAATGTGCCAAAAACATTTATCATAAAGTGCTTAGTAATCACAGATGTAGAAGACATTCATGGCGGGAATACACCAACTTTGCTAAACGTGTCAACGCCTAAAAGAACATGCCTACATCAAACAAAACATGAACTTCAATCATCACGTGATGAATAAAACCGCGATATCACACCCAGTCACAGGCTCTGGCCACTCTGTATCCTGACCGCTATTCTGCCCTCCCCCAGGGCACGCCTGGACTACCTGGTGCGACCGGTAGGGACGGCCTGCCCGGTATGCGGGGTCTCAGCGGCGCCCCCGGGCCGATCGGAGCACCTGGAGAAGACGGGGAGAAGGGAGACATCGGACCGGCCGGCGAGAAGGGCCACCAGGGCGAGCGGGGAGACATGGTACGGCGGGAAGGGGTGCGGTGGGCCGAAGGAGAGCATATGAACAGAATTTGGGACGTGAGTCGAAAGAGTTTGAATATCTCATCAGGCGCGATTATTGTTTGCCGCACATATTTACGAGTATGTAAGCTTTTGATGGCATTTATTACGAAGCAGAAATAATTTTACTTTAAATGTGACTTAAACTTTAAAACGATGCTGCTTTAAGTGTCCCGAGTGGTGCGACCTTTCTTTCTATGATACTGCCTTTATATGGGTCTGGGTCTGAGACACAATGTCTGAAAACTGCATTAAGAGCGCAGTTCTCTGTGCTCTAATTGTTTGACCCATGCGTCTGGCAGGGAGTGCCCGGACCGACGGGTCCCATCGGCGCTCGCGGCGAGCCCGGTCCGCCCGGCTCTCCCGGCGAGCGCGGTCTCATCGGAGAGATGGGCCGACCGGGGCGCAAGGGCGAGACGGGACCGCACGGCAAGCCGGGCGTGGCGGGCGCCCCGGGCAGACAGGGTCTGCCGGGTATCGCCGGCCAGAAGGGCAGCACCGGCGACCGCGGCCACAAAGGTCAGAGGGGACACAGAGGGCGACAGGGACGGGTCTAGGCCCTCGGGAGGCATTAGGACTTTGGAGTGATGATAACGAGCCAATCGACCTACCAACGTGTTGTTTAAAAAAAAAATGTTTAGGGTAAGGGCGGGTAAGAGTACGCGGGCGATAAGAGTACGCATCAGCTGTTTCGGTTGCTTAGCAACGCGGGTTTGTCGAGTTCATGAAGTGACATGAAGCCGCCAGTACGTGCATGTCACCAACGGAATGTGTGCGTTGAGCGGCGACGCTGTTGAGTTTAAGGCGCTGAATATTATTTTCGAGCGTTATGATATTATTATGATATGGTACAATAATTTTGATACTTGGCAGTTGAGATAAGGTAAATTTCCGTGATTGTTGTAGGAAACTTGTGAGGTTATCTGGGGAAATACTGTACAGTGCAATATTCTGTTTGCGAAGTTTTGCACAACGTTTCGGGGTTGTTTTGTGCGCGAATTGCATGTACGGTAAGAGGACGCACTGTTCAGGAGGGTAAGAGTACGCAGAATTATACATTAAATCGAATATACAGAAATATAGAATTATTAATCTTTCGCTCAATGACGTTTGTTTTGTAGGTATATCATCAATGGAGCACTGTGATGCAGATGCGTACCCGAAATTCTTCCAAATACGAGTTATTCTCCTTTTTGATCGTGCATTTTAAGAAACACACGACATGATTATTTCCTGATTTACAGACTTGAAAGATTTATTTTATGTTTTTCTTTTTGGATACTAGAATTAACTTAAATGCCTTCTGAGTTTGAAGTTAAGCATTTGGACAGTGCAAGCTGCATAGGTGTGTGTTCATATGCTTGCGTACTCCACCCGCCTGGCGTGCGTACTCTTACACACTCCATATGGTAAGAGTACGCAAGTGCAACGGTTCAGAAAATGTCAGTTTTAGACCACTTCCATTTACGCTGAAGGATCGTTGCCCCATGGGTTGATGGCTAATTCAATGAACTTTAATATTCCCTATTTGCGATTTCTTTCCTTCAAATATTAAACAAATGAGAGCAAGAAATCCACTAAGTGCGTACTCTTATACGACTTCACCCTACGGTTACTTTGAAGTTTACAGCTGCTGTTATACCAACTGCAACGGTCCTTTCATCACGCTATGCCATCATTCACTGATGGTGACCGGGGTGACGTCTGCAGGTCCGGTGGGCGCGCCGGGTCAGGTCGGGGAGCGCGGCGACCGCGGCGGACGCGGCAAGGAGGGCCTCCCGGGCCCCACAGGCCCTGAAGGCCTGCAGGGAGCCAAGGGCGAGCCAGGAAACACCGGCCCACCAGGACCGGACGGCCCCGACGGAAAGCACGGGCGGCCCGGCCGGCAGGGGCAGAAGGGAGAACAGGGTCTGCTGGGCCTGCAGGGCGCGCCCGGGACCCGCGGCCCGCCCGGCCCCGAGGGGCCCAACGGCAGCCCCGGTACCGAGGGCGCCCCCGGGCCACCCGGAGAGTCCGGAGTGCAGGTAAGCACTGAGTGGTGACGGGTGAACTGGTAGGATGTGAGTCATCCTCAACAGCGCTAGCCTGGCCTTTTATCGCGCTCTCGGAGTTCAGCAAAGCTGCTTTCGTGACGGTGAAAAAAAAAACTTTGCAAATCTTAATCAGCTCATCGGCATTATCCCGATGAGCTGATGATGATGAGGGATTATATGCCGGTCCCGTAGCTCAGTTGGTTAGAGCGTTGGACTCCGCGTGGTGAGAGTACGCGTTCCCGGTTATGACAGTCCGGGTTCGAAGCGCGACGGGCGCTCGACATTTATGGGCCTCCTGACAGGTATGGTTGCGGTTGGTGGCAGGCCGTAGCCAGGCGAAGTCAGCGTGGGGACCGGCCGTGCGCGGCTTTGTGCGCACGTTAAACTTTGGACTCTAAATTCTGCCATAGAATCGGAATTGCGCGATCGGAGGGTAGAGGGCAGGGTCATCGCAACAAGCTTCGCTTAGTGGTGGCTCTGTCCTTGTGAATCCTTCCCATCAAAAGGTTCGGACTAAATTTATAAAAAAAAAAATTATAAGTGTTGGTCAATTCACTCATGTTCTACATACACTAGTTTGATATGCATGTACATGCAATTCATGCTGACCTCCCGTGGTCTGTTTGACCCGTCTCCATTCGACGACCGGTTTGCCCCTTTTGCCGACTGACACGTCTCTATCCGGCGGCTCCTCAGGGCACCAAGGGCGAGCCGGGAGCGCCGGGCCAGGACGGCCAGCCGGGCCCAACCGGTCCCCCTGGTGACCCAGGACCGCGCGGAGAGCCCGGGCAGGACGGCGGACCGGGGTCACCGGTAAGGAGCTTTCAGAAGCTAGTTACCACTACGGCTTCACACATACACATAACATATCGGGCACATATTTAAGCATTATATTGCTATTTGAACAGCGAACAAACCGTGAAATGGCTCTTGCTGTGATGCTGGCCTTTTTACAGCATCAGCACTCTTTTGACATTTTTTTACGCAAAACAAGTGTTGAATGTTCTTAAGGATAAGACATTTGGTGGATATAAAATCGGTGTTGTTCCTTTACGTTCAATGAAAATGTGTCGCCTTTAAGACAACGTTGTGACCGAAGCTATGATATGCTTGGTTGGCTCGGTTCTGGAGATATCCGAAAGGCCAGTCAATGGAAGTAACCCCACTGGCATCATAACCCGACTCGGTCTAACCTATCCATAGGTATCAATGTATCAGCCGCTGACCACAGTCCGTTTCCAGGGCCCAGAGGGACCGGCCGGACCTCAGGGCAGCGAGGGTGTGACCGGTCAGAAGGGCGACCTCGGCGCGGACGGGCCGCCGGGCCCTCCGGGTCCAGTGGGCCCCAGCGGCCTGCCGGGCCCCGAGGGACCTCCCGGCATCCGGGGATCGCCCGGACCGGCGGTAAGGGCTCAGCGATTGACTGATTGATGCTTTTTTACTGCTGTTGAAAGCCTCTGACATGTTGTGTACTTGTTTCTCATGAAAAGTGATGTGTTTCAATAATCCTCGGTTTTATTGACAGTCTTGCCAGCTTCAAAGCATGTTCACTCTAAAAAAAATGCACCAGGAGTTTTCCAGCTGTTAGAATCCGGTAGAGCGCCGAGCCTGTGTTCCTTCCTGGTCAAATCCTCTGACTGTTCGCTGTGCCCTCAGGGCGAGGCCGGCGCGCCCGGAGCGGCCGGAGAGCCGGGCGAACCCGGTCTGCCCGGAGACACGGGTCCTCCAGGTCGTGTGGGCCGTCCCGGCCGGCCCGGACAGAAGGGCCACCGCGGAGAGATCGGTATCTCCGGAAAGGAGGGCCAGATCGGCGAGAAGGGCGAGCCGGGACCAAAGGGACCGGTGGGCCCGCCTGGTCAGAAGGGCGAAATGGTGAGTCGGATACAATAGCGAGTTGAGCGTCTAACTACTTTTGTAACCAGTAACCGAACCAACCAAATGTAGCCAAATGTACCTGTAGCTTAAATATGCTGCATATTGTGGACGTTACTCGAAATAATGCGCATTTACCATTCCGATATCAGAATAATCATATCGTGCCACGCCAATTCCCACGCCATATCTTTGTAAAATACAGTCGTTACGGTGCCTGTATGACACACTCTGACACGCTAATCCCTGTAATCTCTTGCAGGGTCCGATCGGCAACGAGGGGCCCCGGGGCGATCCGGGGCCTCAGGGTCTGCCCGGAGTCGAGGGCCGTCCCGGCGAGAAGGGCAGCTCGGGCCCCGACGGAAACAAGGGAGACCGCGGCATGCCGGGCCCGGCCGGTCCCCCCGGTCCTCCCGGCGAGCAGCCCATCATCCCGCCGGAGCTGCTCTTCCAGCAGTCCAACACCAAGGGACTCGTCCGCAAGAGGAGGCAGACGTGAGTGGGCACACCGGGGATTGAACTGGCGACATACGTCGGGTGTATCGGAGAGGTAACAAGAATGCATTGGGAGAACCGAGAACTCGATAGACATTACAAGCAAACGGTCAATCGTATCGTTAACGCATACAATTTTCTGTATAGTATTTGTATTTGAAAAAAAAAACTAGGCCCAACCCAGTCAATGGCATCGTCGTCCGTCCGCTCCCAGACTGCGATGCTACAGCAGCGCCGCGCCTCAGTAATTTGATAAGTAGAGCTTTCACAATTGCCGCTAGGTGGCGGTAGCGGTAACGCCTGAAGTTACGCTGTTCCGCAATACAGTAAGGCTGAAATTTTACAGAAACACATAGCTTTGCTCATCGGCGGTGGCAACTGGGGAACTTGATATGCCTTTTAATCAGGTGACGAAATGAAAGCAGCGTTTTTAGATGGAGAAGTTTACACACGTATGTCAGTAGGAACAGAAGCAACGAGCAATGTTTTACGTGTCGATTTGCGCGGCAGGGACGAGGAGTCGGCCAAGGTGAAGGGCGAGACGGCCTTCTCCTCGCAGTTGCTGGACATGTACAGCGGAATCTACACGATGCGCCAGGACCTGGAGCGAGTCAAGAAGCCGATCGGAACCAAGGACAACCCGGTCCGGACGTGCCGCGACCTCTTCTACGGACACCCGCAATTCGGAGACGGTACAGTCCTAATTTATATTGTTATAACCAAGGAGAAATCGGTAGACGTTGATTAGATTAACGATAAGAATAAAGGGGAGAATAATGGAAATCATAGAGTAAAGGAGATCGATCAGAGTAGGGGTGATATCAATATACACCATTTAAAGATATATCGTTCAGTGTAGCTAATGCACCAACGCTTGCAGCACCGATCATCTGCCCGTTCTGCGCAGGCTGGTACTGGATCGACCCTAACCTGGGTATGCCGGACGACGCCATCCTGGTGTTCTGTAACATCACCAGCTCTGGCGAGACGTGCGTCTACCCGGACCCCCACGCCAGCAAGATGCCCAGGATACCCTGGAGAAAGACTACCGAACAGGCCAACTGGTTCTCCACGCTAAGAGGGGGCTTCAAGGTGAAAATTGAGCACAAAAAATCGCAGCGCTGTGTGACTTCATCCTGTTTGGATATACAACACAAATTTGAAGAACACAAATTTGAAGCTATCAAAATGTAGGCCAATTCCATCTACTAACAGTTTGTTGCCTGCGGAAACGCCAGCTTGTTATGCTCAGGATTTGAATCATTGTTTACAGTCAGTTGGCAATAAAAAGCCGACGCTAAAAATAGCAAACACATGCTGCATCGATGATCTCAATACGATAGAATTCGGAGAAAACTCAAAGCCTGTTCAATTTTCACTGTTCATGTTCGATGCGGCGAAACGGAGTTCATTGCCCTTTGTTTCCGACCAGTCATCGGTTACTAACCCTGGCGGTGACTCCACTTATACCCGTCTGTACGTATGTTTCCAGATGACGTACGAATCGATCGGGCCTGTTCAGATGACGTTCCTGCGACTGCTCTCGGAGCAGGGGCGTCAGAACTTCACCTACTCATGCGTCAACTCTGCCGCCTGGTGAGTACGTCCAGCGCTGCCAACAGCAACACGCGTGAGGTGCGCTTCCTGCTCAGCCGGCGTCAGTTTCGGCAGCTCACAGTCTCTGTTGGCCGAGCGAGCCGCCGGCGGCGGGAAGTGTTTACCAGACGTCGGATTGCATGACGTCAGGTGCCGATTTTAAACCCGACTTGTTCTGCCATTGTGGCTCAAACGAAACACCGGAAGGCGGGTGAAAAATTACTTTCTTAGAGATAAGGGAACTTTGAGACAACAGCTGACACAGGCATGCTCATCTTTACAGTTCTAAGCACAAGTTGCTATACGTTTAGTTTATAAAACTATTTTCTTCTTCACCTTGTCGCAATAATTAATTATGGCGTGCTTGCAGGTACGACACGAAAGAGAAGAATCACGACAAAAGTATCAAGTTCCTCGGATCGAATGGCGTTGTTTTCAGCAGCAAAGAATACGCAAGAAATATTCGGATACAAGAGGATGGGTGCCGGGTAGGTCTTATTACATTTTATTCTTCGATCAGTTGGGCTTAGAAGCATTTATATGTAGAAAACAGCCATTATCTGCACCGTAAAGACGCTGTATTGTGTTGATAGCATCCGAAATTATAATCAACTCTATGACCATTTATTAAACACAATGACAAACACAAACAGAGTCCCCATCAGGCAGTGAGAAACGACAGCGTTATGCTTAAGTTGAGGCAAAAGCAGTACCGCTGTGGTGATGTTTAGACCGGCCATTATCAGTGCCAAGCTGTGAATCACGACGGCCAGCAGGAACTACACGCAGATCACAAACAACTGTACGGCCCCTGCCGTTGATTTAACATGTCAGAAGATGCTTGACTCAACGTCTGTCTGTGAACTGACGGTCTTGTTAAGACTGACTTCAGTGTGTACTGTGTACCACTGCCGGTCATGTCGTAGTCTACTTTTGCCGCAGCCATTGTGTCATGTCCAAAACACGTGTCAGCGTGTCATGCTGTCCGCATCACGTGCGCACCCTTGTGTCGACAGACGCGGCGCGGTCCCGGTCAGACCGTGCTCGAGGTCAGCTCTGCCGAGCTCGACCAGCTACCCCTCGAGGACTTCCTGCCCGTAGACTACGGCGTGCCCAGCCAGGCGTTCGGCTTCGAGGTGGGCCCCCTGTGTCTGCGCTGAGCGGCAGGGGCGCTTCACCAGACGTCAGCGCCTTAGACAGGAGGATTCCAGCGCCCCGGAACAGTGGCTGGTGAACACAACAACTGAGGACCAGCGGGGCGACGGGAAAAGGGTCGGATCCAGGCCGACAGTGGAGCGAGAGAGATCGGAGACATGGAGGAGACGAGAGAGACGAGAGGGAAACCGTCAGGAGCGGGCAGAGGGGCGGAGGGAGCGGACGGATGGAGTGGAGAGAGCAGACAGAGGGCGGAGCGAGCGTTGGAGAGCGCCGGTGGTGCTGCAGAACACATCACGGTTGGGTGGCTGTGCGCCCGGGGGGCGGGGCGGGCGCCGCCGCGCCCCTCGGGCTCTGTCGGGCGCCGGGGGCGCGCTAGGGCGTCCCGGGGCGCGGGGCGCCGCCGCGGCCGCCGGCCCGGCCGCTGCTGCTGCGGGCCGGCCGGCCCGGCGGCGAACCCGCAGCCCCTGGCCACTCATTAGGTAGGTTTGTTGCATCGTATGTAATATAAGGCATCGTTAACAGCCCAGTCAGGGATTTAACTGTGTACCATTATTGTGTGTCATCCATAGGTTAAGAGCACAAGTACTGCCATTTTTAAGAAAATCAATAAAAATGCACAACATCAAAGGTCCTGTTTTTATGCAATGAGCATGATCTAAGCTGGACGTTTGAATGACTTTGAAGGATTCGAAGTCACCCATAGGGAATGGAAAGCCTTCTGCAAACGGCGAAGACTTTTAGCATGGAAACTTGTAAATGAGGCATTGGACAATGGTCATGGACGGTTGAGGCACACGCTTGATGATTTATGCAAAGTTAGACTCGATAGAACCCGATAGTGCATCTTTTGAGCTCAGTTCAACTACAGGGTACTGGTATGTTTATAGGCGTTTTTTTAAATAATAAGTAAAACATGCATGTTCTTTTGAGTACCTATAGGAATGATCAAATACCCATAGAGATCTTTGAGATCTTATGATCTCTATGGATATACCAGTCAAGGCGAATCAGAACCCATCCATATAACTCACTTTTGCAGGAGGGGTTCTGTAAAACGGAGCACGTTACAGGTAACAAGATGCTTCAATCCTTGCTCAAACTTCAAATTAACACCGAAATTTACAGACGGTTTGTCCATTTTTGTTCGTCAGAGAATTTTAGTTACGGACTTCAGCACTATTTCATTTGCACTTACCCGGGCTCAAGATAGCCATCATAAGCTGAAATAATATCTGACTTCGTCTATATATTTCGTTCTTTTATATCAGGGCTATTTCTCCATCATTTGTTCCCCACGGCCTATTCCTCGATTCAGCATTTCCAGAACATGTTATATCCATGTCACCCAATTTGACCCAAAAGCAGCATTGAAGTAATTATTGTCGTTTATAATCATGGCTGAGGAAGGTGAAGTACAGGAAGTCCCTGTAGAGACCACTGCGGCCGAAGATCCCGCACAGCAGACGGAGGAGGTTCCGAGCGGAGACGCGTCCGCGCCAGCTGGGGAAGGGGCTGGCGCAGCTCCGGAGGCGGAGGCGGTTGAACAGACCCCGGCAGCTGACCCTCCTGAGGGACCTCCCGACCCGGGCGATCAGGGAGCGCAGGAAGGAAGCCCTGCGCCGCCTAGTCCAGAAGGCCAACAGGCGGCGGCGGAACCTAATGGGGAAAGCGCAGTCCAACCAATTCCAGAACCAGGAGCGAAGGAGGGAGAGAATGTCATCCCGACAGAGGGAGAACCTGAAGGAGGTGCTGCACCGCTCTCTGAAGCTGTTCCTCAGGAGGTGGAATCGGGAGACACTCCTGCCATTAGCGCAAGTCAACAGGAAACCGGCGAGGCTACTCACGCCTCTACCGTCGGAGGACAGCCATCGGTTGCAGAGGACGAGGCGTCCTCACTTGGAAAGGGAGAGGAAGAGGAGGACAGTGGGGTCACTGACACTACATCTCAACAGCCGGAGGACGAAGAAGACACAGCGAGTGCCGCGGAGCAGACCACAGAGCGCGGGTCCGCGGAGAGCACATCCGTCCACACACCAGAGGACGAGAGCACGTCAGACCGGTCCTCGGCAGAGGAGGCGACCACGCCTGGCTCGGCGGACAGCGGCGGCCGCAGCAGTCTGACGCGTCTGGTGGAGCGCAGCAACCTGGAGCAGCAGCACCGCGCGCTGCTGCTGCTGCGCCGCCAGCTGCTGGCGCGCAACCAGCGTCTCCAGCAGCGGCTCAGCCAGCACTTCAGCCGCAAAACGGACGACGCCGCCGAGCGCGTGGAGAAGAACGTGGGCGAGCTGGAGGCGCGCTACAGCCGCTACCTGAACGGCATCCGCGAGCAGCAGCGCTTCACCGACGAGGAACGCGAGCGGCGCCAGCAGGAGCTGGCCGCCTTCCGCGCCCAGGTGGAACAGCAGAGCGAGCTGGTGGCCTCCGCCTACGCCGAGGTGGTGGACCTGCGCAGACAGGTGGCTCTCAAGTCGCGCAGCAGCCGTACTGGACGGCTAATGGCTGCCTCAGAGGTGGAGGCGCTCATCAGCCGCGAGCAGCAGAAGGAGGTCGAGGTCCAGGAGGCGCGTCTGGAGAGCCTCCGCCGCGAAACGCGCCTTAACCGTCTGGAGCAGACTCTGCGAGAGAGCGAGGAGCTCGCTGGCGGCATCCACCTGATCGACTTCGAGCAGCTCAAAATCGAGAACCAGACGTACGCCGAGAAAATCGAGGAGCGCAACGAGGATCTCACCAAGCTACGGAGGAAGATCAGCAGCACGGTGCAGATCCTGACCCACCTGAAGGAGCGCATCCAGTTCGAGCAGACGGAGAACACGCGCCGTCGGGAGCACCTGGAGACCGTGTCGGCAGAGGTCACCCACGGCCGAGAGAGCCTGGCGCAGCTCAAACAGCGCCGCGACCAGGTGCGCAACCGGACGGCCAGCCAGCGCGCCACGGCCGGCCTGCTCGGCCACGAGGCGCTCCTCCGCGACTTCGAGGCGCGGGTGGACGAGGAGGCGCGCCTGGTGCGCGAGCTGCAGACGCTGAAGAAGGAGTACGCCGACCACCAGCGGATGACGCAGGAAATTCGACAGACGGTGCGCGCGCGCAAACAACAGCAGCACGACAAACGGCACAGGTCGGCCAGCAAACACTGACCGGGAGAGCAGCTGAGCAGCACGACAAACGACACAGGTCGGCCAGCAAACACTGAACGGGAGAGCAGCGAAGCAGCGATAGACGCTGACGGGCGGCCGACGTACGGTGGCTAACGGTCGATAGACGCTCAATGAGAGAGCAAGGGAGTAGTCGTAGGGCGGTCAGCAGACGCTGGAGGGCGCAGGTCAGCAGAGTAAATATGGGCAGACACTGACAGGACCGCGGTAAAAATAATGCATGAAAGCTGTGCGACACCAGGGAAGAAGTTAGGTACTGAAGCGAATAATGTCACAGACTTCTGGTTCTAATATTAACGAGGTAACAAAATAAATGTGGGCTAATGTTGACGGCGGGGTACGTTTTCCACTGACAGATATGTATTGCGCTAGCATACCTACACACGCTGTCAAATGTGAATGCCAAATTTCTCTGTTGAAGATGCAGCGATTTTTCTTTTAAATAAAGCAGTTGCATGTTTATTTGTGTACATCTGAGAACAGAGACAAATGACAGTGCTTACCGTTAACCCGCGCCCCGCTGGGGGGGGGGGCAGAATCTGCCCCCCCTCCCGTTTTTCGCCAATAACTTCTAAACGCGTTACGCCAGCGACGTCAAACTTTCGGTACCTTATCATACATCAATTTGACACGTTCCCTGAAAATTTGAGCAAAATCCGTCGGAAAATTTTTGAGAAATTGACGTTTTAGTGACGTCATGTTCGCCATTTTCGCCTCAAAAACGGCAAAATTTCAAACGCCGCTAACATCTTCATTTTTAAAGGAATCAAGACGTAACAAAAAAGGTTATGCGTGATTCCACTTTGTCTATCAAATGGCTATCTCGGTTTTTGAAAATTTTGGATTTTGGCCCAAATTTTTTCAAAAAACTGACTTTTTTGGGAAAATAATTATAAAATCCAAAATTTTGAGTGTATCGAAAAAACCGGAATATATGTCAGAGAAGTGGTCTATGTGCACCTACATACCAATTTTGAGAAGAATCGGTTCAAAAATGTGGGAGTTATTCAAAATTTAATGACGTCACGACACACAAAATTTTTTAAAAATGATTTTTTTTGAAAGTTCTAGACCTCGTACGGAAACAAAAATAGCACCATTCGATTCGCCGTGACAAACTGCATCAGATAGACACCTTTTTAGGCCTTAAAAACCAACTTCAAAATTTGACCTCACTTGACCTGACCTTGACCTGACCTCGACCTGAAATTCATCCAGAGGTGGTCCATATCACTTATTGAGTGTGCCTATTGAATTCTATGAGTAAAATGACCCATAAAACATGTGTCGCACATGCCCTTTACTATATTTTGTTTTTGGTGACCTGACCTGACCTGACCTGACCTTGACCTTGACCTTTGAATGACATTGTATGCAACGAATATTGTCTTGGTAGTCTAAGAACACGTTTTGGGCAACCAGTCTCAGTCCATTCTTCGGCAACTACGGTGCAAGGCCGATACTGTAGAAACTTGCATTTTGTACCCTTGACCTGACCTTGACCTGACCTCTGACCTACTTAAGCAAAAAAATTTGGGCTCTTAAGATCCGCCTTGTTGAGAGCTTTCGATTGCCGTTTTTCCCGTCTTTCTACGACCATCGGTTCGAAAGTTAGACAGGGGGGGCAGAATCTGCCCCCCCCAGCAGGGCGCGTATGGCTGAATAGCCCAGCGGGGCGCGGGTTAACACATAAAAATATAGAAAACGTACGCATTACTCACAAACGCAGGAGAAAACGAAATAACCGCGTATCTCATCTTGAGATAGTAAGCTCACAGGGCGTCTGTCGATGATGCATGCCAAGTTGAGTCCAACTTATTGTAGTCCGGTATTGAACGTTCCATGTTAACCCTTGCGCAGCCTATGTTTTCAACTTATTATCTTTTGCAACGTGATCATATGTACAATGCATGACAATGAGAGATATTAATGGCAGGGTCCGTAAACGATCTAGCAGAGCCATAATGAACACTGGTTCGGTTTCTAAGAGCTGGGTCTTGATATCAAAGCCAGTGCCAAAATTAGCGCGGACACGGTTCCTTGGCATCTGGCTGGACGTGCTCTGTTCCGCTCGGCTGGCCTGACGCGCGGCTTAAATCAACTGCGCAGCACCTGACGCCCGCAGCAACTGCGTGAACCGGCTCACGTATACCCATGACCGGCGGGGCGTGCAGGGTGCAGAGAAAGGCGCCCCGGGCCGGCCTCAGTGCACGCCCGGCCCCTGGCGGCGGCGCGCGCAGGCGGCCGGTCGTTGTCCGGCGATTGGCGGCCTGCCACCGGCCGGTGCCGGCGCCGGCGAGTGGTGCAGGTCGGCGCCGACACCCCCGTCAGTGCTCTCGCGCGCGGCGCGGAGACCAGTCCTAGAGCGGTGCCGAGGTGCAGCCATGTTCCCGTCGACCGGTGAGACGCGCGGCCAGGGCGGAGCGGCGGCGTGGCGGGCCGTGCACCCATCCGGCTGTCCCAGCAGGCCGTGGGGGTACGGCGCGCGGCCCGTGCAGGCGGTGGCACCGGCGCCGGCCGGCCGCGCCCTGCAGCTGATGGCTTCGGTCACTGCCGGAGCCGCCGCCTACGCCTACTACCACAAGGTGAACGGCTACGGTCCCGGCAGCGGCCGGCACCAGCGGCACTGAGGGCCTCGGAGGTACTGAGGCCCCAATGGCAGAGGATCCTGCAGTGGCACTGAGGGGCCCAGCCACGCTGAAGCCCAAGCGGCACTGAGAAGTCAGTGGCACTGATGGTCCTCAGAGGCACTGCCGGACCCAGAGTCACTAAAACCCCAGCGGCGCTGAGGGTCCTGCGGCACCGAGGGCTCCTGGTAAGACGAGGAGACCAGGTCAACCGCCGCAAAATGCCGGGAGACTTTGTTGTCAGTCAGTTGTTTATAGTCTTTCGCCGTCGTCAGTCTGTTGGTGGCTCTGGTATGGACCTGAAGTGACTGGCACTTCGATGGCTCTGGTGCGAACCTTACGTGCGACTGGCACTTCGAGCAGAGGTGCGTGTAGCCGGAAACCGTCGACAGTCGACACTCAGGCACGAGTGAGGAGCTGGCTAGGACAACCATCAGACAGTTCTGTATTCAGGGCAGCGAGGCGGTGCAGACAGACGCAGACATCTCGACATGTCGAAGACAGTCTGTATTCAAGACGGGAATCCGAGCGCCAGAGACCAGTAGACGTCTCACACCAGCAGGCGACACCGGCTGCCAACTCAGAGAAGCCGCATGAGGTCCAGGCGGCGATGTTGATAACCTCGTTGAACGATAACGGTGTGTGAGGTTGTGTGCGCACGTGTGTGCGTTGCGTCATTGGACATTGACTGACGTGTTATCTGTAGGTGCTGGCTCCTTCCGCCCCGCTATACCCCGTGGTTGCAACACTACTGTAACTCAGAAAAGTGCGCAGGCGGATAGAAAGTTACGCCTTGTTGTTGGCCGGTCCGTAGTTGGGATTGTGCTCGTTGGTGTGCAATGTGTAGTGTGCTCGGTCACTGTCCTCCTTTTCCTATGTCGCGCCTGCGCTTTATGTACGAGGCCAGGGCTTCATATGTACACGGGTCAGGTAAAACGGATTTGAAAGACAGGACGCGATTCTGTGATATGAGCTAAAGCTGAAGTTGCTTTGATAAGCGACTATGTTACACTCGTCCGTGAGTCTTTTCTACCGAAGGACGGAATTGCGAAATCATGTGCGCGTCCGATTTGAATTGTGCAATGTCAAACCAAACATGAATGTCGTTTTGTAAATAAATACTTAAAAAACATAGGAATTTTGTTATGCTTATGTTGACCTGTATATTTATATGGAGGACTCTTCCCCTCTCACCCCTTTTTTATCACTCACTCGTTCGCTCACTCACTCACTCACCCACTCACTCACTCACTCAATCACTCACTCACTCACACATCTTGCTATATTTATTGTGTACTTACTCCATCTTTGTGAAACTTTCGCAACATTCAGGCACCTACCTACAGAGTAGGTATGAGTACACTACATATGCGGGCATTTATCGATGTGTCACCACTTGGCCAAACGCGTACATACAGCTGCGCTGTCATCTGTGTCTGTCCACTGATAGGCATACCCTACCCATCACAGCACAGGTGTTCTACAGACAGCATACAGGCTACACCAGGCAGCCCACGCCGTTATAAAAAAAGGAATCAACTATAATTTGGAGCCATCAGTCGTTCTACACTCGACTCAAAGACCAGCTATCTAGGTACCCCGTCTACATGCATTAATACGAGTGGACAGTAATGCATCTCACAGCCGCTGATAAAAGACCTGCCGAACGACATTCGTGCCTGGCTTTGTCAGACGACCACACACAGAAGGGCTAAAAATAGACTACCGCGGAGTAGGTACCTCCGAATCAAGGACAGCCTGGCGCGCCGATCAAGTAGCGTCACCCCGTCCTGTTCCGCCACGGCGTTTCCCCGAGCTGAGCCTCCGTGATGCCCACCGACCGGCCGGCTGCGGTCAGGCGGACAGGGGCCGGTCGCGCCTACGTTCTAGCACTCCTGGGTCGGCGCTCGGCGGGGCCTCTATCTGGTTGCACCGGCTCGGCCTTGGAATGCACCGGCCACCGCACGAGCAACTGCAATTGCGCAGTGCGGAACTGATGCACTGTGGCCAGTGGGCCAGCGGGCACGGCTGACCACAACAGAGCGCACGCAGCTGCGTCCAACGTGCGTCACAACGCAAAGGGCCGACGTAGATACGGAGAAGAAAGTAGCACAGCATGACAGACCTGGGCCACGCCCTGTCGGCCGTCGGGAAAAGGGGAGCCGATCCCAAGCCCGCTAACTCAAATATACGCTAATTGCTAAAGACATGCCGATATCGCCACCGAAATGTCAGTGACCGTTTTCACGACGGCCTGTCTGGCGAATGCACCAAAATTGACCAAATATAAACAAATCTCTTTTACAGTGAAGGTTTTCATGGCATGAATTTAATTCAATCGAAAACATTGTCAGA